AGTTTAGGAACTTCCAATGCACTGAGAACTGATGTAACATCCAAGGAGAGTTGCAACTCTACTGTTCGCTTTGAAAAACCGAGATTAGCTCTTGCTGTGATAAACTACCAAGTGCGTCATGTTTACTGCGTCATGTTTTTCTCGTGTTTATCTGCAGATTTGTAGGAGGGCTTCTTGAGTCAGGCGACGGTGCTTGGATTGGATTGAACGACAGAAGTAAAGAATCACGGTACTTGTGGAACTACAACAAGTTTGATACGCCAAGATATTTTGCATGGGACGAAACCAATCCCTCCAACACTGAACCGAACAACTTTAACGGACAGTGCAACGTAGAGAGTTGTGTTGAGATGAAAACCACCAATAAGAAGTGGAACGACGCGGTTTGTATAGCCCACAGGAATTTTGTATGTGAGAGGGAGTCCATAAAAGGTGAGTACTGGCATGTAATTTATCACAGATAACGTCAAAATGTGGTAAAAACGAACAAGAAGCAGTCACGTGTGTCACTGATGTTCTCACCAAATTTTTCCTCCCGACAAAAATGTATGCATTAACACTTAAAAAATAAATTCCATACTGCCGTGAGTCCGTACAGTAAAAAGTCGCAGATGACGTCAAAATGTGTTAAGAATAATATTTATGGGGTCATATTTCCCCAGAAGTGCTTCAGTGAAGTCATCAAGAAATTTTCCAGGAAACCAGTCTAGCAGCGCAACTCCACTCTGAATGTGGCAGACACAAACAAACTTCCTCTTCGTGTTTTCCCCTCAGGTCTCTCTGGCTGGAAATGTCCAGGTAATGGTATGTGTTACTGGTACGCGCGCGAGACTGTCACGTGGGACCGGGCACGACAGAAGTGCAGAGACAACAATGCTAAGCTCGTAAAGATAACCAGTAGCTCAAAAAACAGGTTGATCGGAGATATGATAAAAACAAACATATGGATTGGACTTAACGACCGAGTGGAAGCTGGTAAGCATACGATGGGACACAGGTCGAACGTGAGATATTGGGAAGGTAGTTTCTTTAAATGGTGAAAGGCTCGTGTTTTTGAACGCACTAGCTCTTGCTTGGACAGGTCTAATAAAGCACAGTAGAGTGCATCTGAAATTTGTTCAGTAACTGCCGGACGAATTCTCGCACCAGATTGAATTGATCTTATGTGATATGTCCTTTTGTTGTCATAGGCTTGAAAACGTTTTTTCTTTTTTTTGCGTTTTATTTTGGAATCTAACAGCATAAGTTGGTAACCTGTGCGTAATTCAGTGTTTTTCGCAAAATTCGACAATTAAACTGTTGTAAGATATATTTGGACACAAGTCAGGAGGACTGGGTCTAGAACACAAAATCGAGGCTTACTGCAGTCCTTCTAAAGTGGAGTATTTTGAATCAACGGGCTCGTCTGTTTTCGCTTGCTTCCTTAAAATACCTGAAAAACTTTTCTTTAGAGATTTGTTAGAAAAAAAATAAGAGGAAATCCGTCTAGACATATTGTACATTGGTCTCCAGGGCTTTCAGTTAGACGTACCAGATTTAGATACACTAGTTATAGTTCTCACTAGAGCTGCCCCCGCCCTACAGTACCATTTTCTATTGTTTTTTTTTTTTTTTAGTTGGGCTTGTTGTTTACAGTTGTGTAATTTTTCTGTTATGTTGTTACGGAATTGCGGCTCAGTACTTTGGTTTTAATAATTTTGGATCTCAAAACACTACAAGTGTACAAAATGTAGTTTTGGGAAGTGCTTGGGATGTTTTTTTTTCTGTGTGGTTCAACTTAGGATTTGTTTGTTCTTCACGATCAAGAAGAAGCAGAATGTAGGGGTGAGTTTTGACATTGGAATGTTATAGGTGGCAGACTTGCCTCTGACAAATCCAGAAATTGCCGAGTCTTTCGGCTTTGTGCAATAAGCTTGATTTGCGGCTGACAAATCGGAGTTAACCGAGTCTTTCGGTCAAAATGCTAAACTTACACCGTCTTCTGAGCATCGGTGAAATTATTTCTGTATTAACTTCTGTATAACACAAATGAAACTCTATAACTCTGAGAATAATCCAACATCAAAGCAAGCGAGTTAGAAGCTTAACTTTTTCATGTATTTGATATCTGGTTATACTTTAATTATGCTGCAAGTTCTTTGCTTTAAGTTCTCACGTTAGCTGACTGAGCTGTGGACCCTCCGCCGCCTTCGATCGAGACTTCACACAACTGTTTCTCTTTTGACGGATTTTGATCACCTTTTAAACTCAAATCTACCTTTAATTTTTAGAAAGATGCTATACACACTTACCGTTGGACTTGGAAACGCTTCTCGACGCTTTTCAGGGACGCTTAACTCGAAATCTCGACAAGGACAAAGCTTGTATCAAAGACGCCGATCCCAATAGTACTCGCGCGCGTTTTTGCTGGCCGCCCATGACCATTTGCGGGAAAAACGTTGATACCTTGCGGCCGTGCAAGCGATCAAATCGAGATTTTTTCTGGTTGTGATCTACCGAAAATACCTACATTTTCTCTTCTCCAGTCTTCCTCTATATTACGCGGGGAGTCCTAAGGTGCCTCCTCGGGTTTTTGGCCCTCTGGAGCCAAAAACCCTGCGGGGGCAAAAATGCGCAAGCTCATCTCCTCTTCACGATAATGACTAGTGCAGAGACTGATACTTGATTTTTGTATATGCAGGGATATATGTATGGAACGACATAGGCCAAGGAGAATTCAACAACCGAACTTCATATTTCAACTGGGACAGAGACGAACCAAATGACAAACATTATGATAGCGGTACACCAACGAGGTGCGATGGCGAGGACTGTGTTAATATCCATATCAGGAATGGTGAAGTGACTTGGTTTGACTTAAACTGCGAGATCGCGCTGCCATTTGTCTGTGAAAAGAGCCGAGGTGAGGACATATCTCTTATAACCCTTTAACCCCTAAGAGTGATCAGCTTCTAATTTCTCCTTACAATATCACCTCTGAATCACACATTAATGTCACGAGAAGAAAGGGAATGATCATCAGCTGAAGAATTTCTTGATTGTTAGACAAATTCTCCTAGTAAGCACCTTAGTACATGTACAGAGAACAGTATGAAGAATATGAATACTGATGTTATGGTGCAAAGGGTAAAATTTCAGTATACCACCTACCCCCGTGAGTCAAAATATTTGATGGGAATTTCTTAGGTCAAACTGGCTTTTCTTCGACGTATTACAAAACAACCTCTCTCTCTTTTCTTTTTTTTTTTTTTTCGGTCGGGGTGGGAGGACCTCTATCCAAGTGACGCACAGCTTAGTTCAGCCGTATCAACTAAATTTCGGGCGGTGTTTACAATCCCTATAATCATTTATTTGAAGGGCCGTCCTGATCTTTCTTCTTTACTAATACACCTAGTGAACTTAAGCTTAGCATGTAAATTTCATTTGTGCCAATTGCTTATTTCCAGACCCCTATCTAAGCTTTGCTGCTTGGATAGCCATTTCAATGGGTGCAGGACTCTTACTCAGTATAATTGGTGGACGAGCCTACATGGAGCTTATACATCGGCGAGGACGCAAGCAGGTGAAGCAGATGATAGGGGAAGCCACTGATAACGATGAAAAGAAAGACTAGAGCAGTAAAAAAAAACTTTATAAAAGAAACGACTGTTTGAAAGCTGGATCAGGACCTGGTTTTTGCAGCCGTCACGCAACGCGCTCTCTTTTCCATAGTGTCTTGCGTGACAAGACTAACCGACGGCTGTGATGGAGAGTCGTTACCACGATCCGCTCCTTCAAAACTTCCAACCCCCAAAAAATGCAAACAAGGATGACTTAAGCTCATTCTAGTTTAGTTTCTCAACTCCAGATAATCCTTTTAGAAACATATTCAGATGACGTCATCGATCTCTGTTCCGAGCGTTCCATGTTGGGCATCGTTACTTTTTCGGCCATTTCCTTGCCCGCGTGACAGTTTCATGGTGACATGGTCACGGGTTTTGGAAACTAGTTGACTGGGTTATTTATTTAAGTTGCAGATTGATTTAAAAGTAGACATATGGAAGATATTCATGAATATGTATAAAAATTTTTTAGCTATGATTGTGACTCAGATTTAATAGGATAAAACGGCATGCTGCATTTGAGTTATTTTCAAGCTTCCAAAAAAATTTATTTTCAGACGCTACTTTAAGTTATTTTAATGACGCATCGAAACTCGGTTATCAAAGAATTCCACAGTTACTTCATTCATTCATCCTCGTTCTAACAAGGTTTTTTATTTTTACTATTAAATGATTTAATAATAAAATTATTTTAAGTGTTCTATCGATAAAACATCGATGTTTTGAGCATATCTAAAGTTACTATTCCACCTCAACAGGTTCGCCCTGAATTTTTCAACCCATCCATACATTTTTCACGAAGCAGTTGATGAGAACAGTCATTAGATTGTTTTTCATTGTAAGGAAATGACAGTATACCACTGGTAAACTCGAGGAAGGCGAGTGTCTTACAGTCGAACCTGTATTAAGCGGCAACGTATAAAGCGGACATCCTGTATTAAGCGGTCATTTGTCAAAGTCCCGAATTCTTTCCCATTTAACACCATAATTTTCACCTTTATTAAGCGGTCGCGGTCACCCTTTACTAAGTTCCAACGGCCTGTTTGTAATGTCTTCCATGTGTAACAAACGATCACTTAATTAAGGCGGAACCACCCAAATCACCACCCAGACCAAGAACTAGCATTCAAGTATGTTTAATCCTCGTTCATCTCCCGAAAAATTTATTATCTTGGTATCGCTGCGATATATGTCGATATAACGACAAATTCTCTCAACAAATTGGCGGTGAAATGCATGTTAGCCAGAAGGGAGAATATCTCAGTTGAAGGTTTTAGATGTGATTGAATTTCGTAGAAAGTCGGAGATTGTCCGGCAGCAATCGTTGTCCGAGTCGCGCGACGTCGGCTGTGCATAAGTCACGTGACTTTGTTTGAGTAACCGCGGTACACTAAATCTTCTCTCATCCAAAGATGTCGCTGTTCAAAGCGAGAGATTGGTGGGCCACCTATGCTGGAAGCGACGAAGAATTCGATCTTGGATGCTTGTGTGTGGCAAATATCGACAACAACGGCTTGCAGTTGGGTAAGTCTTCGAGATGTTAGGCTTTCTTTTAAAATCTGTTAAACATCGGCCAGGTATTCGTGTGATGTTTAATGTGGTTGTCATTATGAAAGAAGGTAAATTAATCTGTGGAAGCTTTATTGCCATCCCTAGGCTACATAATAATCAGTTTTAGGGTTGCTATATTTTTGTTTTAGACCTCTCTCAAATCAACGATTTTCAAAGTACGTGTTCATTGCGGAACAGTTGAAGATGACCTATATGTGATTATCACTTAGGTTACCTATCAACTCAAGCCATGTTTTTTTAGGCTCGTTGCTAACGGCACCAATCGCTATGTTTATGTATGTATCTGCGTAGATTGTGGATCGTTAGAAACGAAAATACGTTATTTCTAAACAAACCAAAATTCTGTATGGAAGAAATCTGATTATGCTCTTAGAGGTGCATCGTTAAATTATCATATTTCTGTATTCGTCTATACACACTTTTAGAGCCCAAGCTTAATTTATATAGAATTGTTAAAGAGATCATGTGTATATTTTGAGCTTAAATATCTTGTACCTGACTTTGTTTTGGTGGGAAATTTTTTAACAAAAATTTGTTGGAGAACTGTGGATAGACTATGGCAGAAAATCAGTTTACATTTTGTGCCTCGAGACAATACCCATGTTAAGTGGAAAGAGCTCAACAGAGGCATTCATTCATTTAACAGTTATAAGTAGATGTGTTCTTCAGTTGAGCATCGTCAATATTCTCCAGCAGCTGGGTTTTCACCAGCTACTTGTTTCTGTGTGACTTTGATGAGACAAAGCAAGCAACCCTGTCTTGATCTGAAGTAAATGAAACCTTTCTTTTACTTTTTGTACATAAACAAAAAGATTGATGGAAAGACTGAAAAGAAAACAATAGGTGATTACAAGTGGAATAGATGCAAGCAAAATTTATGCTCCTGCTATTTTGACACTCACTTGTTTCTAGCAAGCTACTGTCTAAAAACTCTCTGGAGAAAACTCTATAGTTGGGGGAAAAAATTATGTGATAGAAAACCTTGACAATGATGCAGTGAAAAGAGAAAGAAGCTGTTGGAAAAGTTGGTTGCTCTATCCATTCAGCCATTGTTCCAGTGTTAATGTTGTGAAAGTAGTATTGCAATTCTATCTCTGTCATTTTTTGTCTGTTATGTTTCTATAAGAAAGTAAACATGTACTTGGCTGTTGTATCGTTGACCCTTTGACCCCTAAGAGTGACCAGCATGTAATTTCTTCTTAAGAAATCACTCCTGAATCACAAATTAAGGTCATGAGAATAAAGGAAATGATCACCAACTAAAAAAGATCTTGATTGTTAGAAAAATTCTCCTTGTCAGCACCTTTGGAAATGTATAGAGAACAGTATGGAGAATATGCATACTGATGATGAGTTCAAAGGGTTAAAAACAACATTTTCAGGTTAAAATGATCTCAGGCTAGTTTAATTATAATTAACAATTGGTTCATATGTCAGCATGCATTCATCAAGATCTGAAGCATGCGGGAAGTTTGAGAGCATGAAAGATGCGTAAGAGTCGCTTGAGGCATAGCCAAGAGCAACTCTAGCTTCTTGAATGCTCTCCAAACTTTCCAAGTGCTTCATATCTTGATGAACGCACAGCTGACGTATGAACCAATTGTTTTGTAACATTTTCCAATTTTTTTTCTCGAGGGATTTGTTTGCTAACATAGGAATATGAAGCATGCTCACGCAATTGAATTTGATTAAACAAATTTACTAGCTATGTTATAACTTAATTTGTTTAAGGTTTGTGGTTATGTACCTGAAACCGAGGGAAAAAAACAAGTCAATTAAAATTTTTACTTAAAGTTTGTTATTAATCATGACCATTACAATTTTGTTGACTATGATTGGTGCACTAACAGCATTTTTTTCCACTAACTATTTTAAGAGTTATAGGTAGACAGTGTAATCAGACAGTTGGCTGTAATTTGACACCTGAAGCAGCCAATCATACTAAGTCCACTCAGATAAATCCATCCATCTCAGAATTGATCACAATAACCACAGCAACAACCACTTATCCTTAAAAAGAAAAAAAACTGGGGAATCTCCTAAATGGAGGAAGTTTTAACTTTACACATTGTCTCCTTTGGGGATATTTGTTCTAGATGTATTTTTTTTTCCAGAAATTGTAATGGTTATGATTGATTGTAAAAGGTCTTCATGTCATCCAGTTCTGTCTGCAATCATACTCATTATTAACAAATCGGATTGCTGCTTCGCAGTCCATTAGTTTGTTAGTTGCTCTTATGATTGCAGACTGAACTGGACTCCACTTAGTCCTATTACCATTACAAATTCAAAGACAGTTGTTGTAGAAGAACCAAGTAAAAGCAAATGATTAAGTGTTCACATGTGTATTTTTCAGATAAAATTATAGTTGGTAGTTTTCATGGAATCCTTAGAATTTATTGTCCCAAGCCGCCTCATTTTACACCAGATGATCTTATGTTGGAGGTACAGCTACAACAGCCAATTTTGCAAGTGGAAGCTGGCAAATTTGTTTCGTAAGTCGATGGAATAATAATTGCAAATGTTTTACAACTTTCATGCTAGCAAATCCCGCTAAATACAGTGTAAGCTACATGTATTAAAAATAGTAATGTTTCATTGATTTCTATTCAGAGGGGTTGATCAGTTACACTTAGCTGTTCTTCATCCAAGAAAACTTGCTGTTTATAGCGTGTCAGGTAAGCCAGTGGTATCATATTTATTTTCCTGATTATGATTGTTTATTCTTTTGAAGTTTGTTTACCAGCTGAATGATTTATGCTCAGTCAGTTGTCATTCAATACACCTTCTCTGCCATTAAGTTGCCGCATGAAACCAACAAAACCTGTGAATGAGATGGTTGACACACTGGTTCAATATTAGCTGGTTTAAGTCTTAATTCAATCTATATGTACATGATTACAGTAACCATAAATGAATAAAGGGTGTAAGTTTTGAAAGGAACTGTGGTGCTGCATTAGTGGGAGAGTATAACAAGCTTTCATTGGTATTATCATCTGAGTTGATAACATGAATTGGCCACCATTGAGAGTTTCAAGGCTGATGCTACAAGTGTTAGCCCCTCATCAGAGCAATGACAAGGGGCTAACACTCGAAATGTCAGCTTTGAAACTCTTAAGAGTGGCTAGTTTATTTTTTTTAATTCAGATGATAACACCAAAGTACCTTGTCATTAATTATCATAGTTACCCAAAACACAGAAATTAGAATTAAATTTGAACAGAGGATAACATTAAACCACAACTGAAACATGTAAATAATTTTGTATACTGTTGAAAAGTTAGTATTTGTTGATTCAGTTCATAACTTACAACATTTTTCCTTTTTAGTTGTTTCAGGAGCTGTAGAACATGGAAATCACTACACACTTAAGATGATGTATGAACATATTTTGGAAAGAACAGCGTATAATATGACATATGGCCCTTTTGGAAGTGTCAAAAGTATGCCAATTTCATTTTATTTCAAAAATTATCATTGCGTACTGTGAAGTTAGGTTGTTGCATTTTCTAATGTTGTTTTTTTCCAAGCACTCTCTATTAAACTAACACAGATGTTGGTCATGCGAAAACATGTCTTCCAAGTAGGAGGACTTTGTTGTCTTTCTGAAAATTGCAAAAGTAAAGGATGTAATAAAGTATACTTCCTTTGACTGTATCGAAGCCATGTTATTAGGTGTAAATTTTTTCTGTAACAAGAAGGCAGTGCTTTGAAATTTGATAAATATATAGTACCACTCAAAAGTAAGTTGACAGTCCCTCAATCCACAATCCTCGATCCTTGATCCCCAATCCTTGATTCCTGATCCTTCCTCCTCGATTCTCAATTCTCAATAGTTTCGAGTATTGAGGATGGATTTTTGAGTTGAGACTGTCAATTTATTTTTGGGCAGTAGGTGGCATTTAAAAAATATCTGAAGGTAATTTGCATAATAATTGAGACAGAATATGCAGTTACGTGTAGGTTGTCTCTCTCAGTCTATAGTATTTCTGTGTGTTGATTTCTTTGGTTGGTCTTTTTTCAGACAAGGACTTCATATGTATCCAGTCCATGGATGGAATGTTGTCATTCTTTGAACAAGAGAGTTTTGCCTTTGGGAGATTTCTCCCAGGTTTTCTTTTACCTGGTCCTCTGAGTTATGTGCCAAAGACAGATTCATTTGTAACCTGTAGCTCATCAAGGCTAATTGAATCTTACAAGTAAGACTTTTTCCTGAAGCAGTTCTTATTTAGACTAGATTGTTGCCTTGGTTTGACCTTTAGTGTAACTCCCAAAATCTGATTGTCAATTCTCCTCTTCAGCTGCTCCACATTTCCTTGTAGATTAGTTACAAGAAATTGGTGTTAAATCAAGATGACAATTTCTACCTGATAAGTTTGAATATTCTCATTACATGTATGCTGGATGGTTTATGGATATTTTGAGGAGAAGTAACATGTTAATCACTTCTGGGGGTGAAAGGGTTAAGAGCTGGCAATGATTGCTTGAGAACTTACCCATATGTACACAAACTTGCTGTTTATTGACAGAAACCCAATGTTAATTTTTTTTTCTTATTTTTCTGTTCTCTTGTGTTGTAAAGTTGAACTTCTTTTCCTGTGGAATTTATTTCATAAGCTTAGAAGGTCCACAGCTCTCTTGAGATGTAGATATTAAAATACACAGCTTAAAACAAATTTGTTGATGACTGTGGATATATGAAAATCATATTTGTGAATTGTGGTTTTATGAAATGAATATGAAAGCGATCTCTGCAGTGCAGTGCTCTATTAAGTTTAGCAAGAACCAACATAATCACCAGCTCCCAGTGGCTTGTTAGCTCAGTAGAGTACTGCACCAGTATCATAGAGGTGATACATTTTTAATCCTGTGCAGGCCTTTTTTTCCCCACTGCTTAAGCAGTGTTCATTACTACGAAGATGGCTTTCATATTCATGAATGACAATGTGTGGAGCCTAGAATGCTTTTTATTTTGATTAGTTTATTTCAAAAATTAGAGTGGTGTCTGATTGTGAACCATCAGCTGTCTGAATTGATTCAAGAAAAGTGTCTGGAAAAAGCACCACTGCAGCTTCATTTATTACAAACACTATAGCTGGCAGGACCCATGGGTGATATAAAGTAAATCTTTCATTCTGATTTGCTAGCCCAAGGCAAGAAGATGGGTCCATCTTGCCAGCTCAGGATTGACAAAAGAACTCTGCCAATATCCAGCCCATACTGCTTGGTCAATACCACATATGTACTGAAAATTTTTGCTGTTTATTTCACAGATACCAGACTCTTGCTGTGGCAACAGATGCAAACACAAAAGAAGATATTGGAAATAAAAAAGTTTCAGGAAAGAAGTTAACTGTAAGTCTCCGTGAGATGCAAAAGCTGCATATATACTTGTACATTATAACTTCTAAATAGTGCCAGGTATTTTGTGTAGTGCTGCCATCAGTGTATCATTCCTAACAAATTTGTGCAATGTAAGTCAGAAATTAAGAATATGCAGCAAACCTCCTCATACAATTTCATACTTTCTTTTCAATTTTTACCTTGTCAATTTGCCATCATGTAGCATTTATTGACACAAATTATGATATTTTTTGACATTTTAAATCACAATTTTTGCATTACCAGCCATTTGCTCAGTTGCATGTTTCTACATGTTGAATGAGATGCCACAGAATAGTTAGGATAGCTTTTAAACAAGTACTTCAGGTTGCCTGAGTTCCAATGAGGTTTATTTTGCAGATCGACTGGTCATCAAATATTGGTGAAAGTGCAATAGACATAGTTGTTTTCACCAGTGCAAATGCACCACTATCAATTTATGTTTTAGGTAAGAGATATAAAGTTGTAATGGTGATAATAATGATATCAGATATGATTTTTATTAATTTATTATTACCATTATTGTTAATATTATTAGCATTATATTGATTTTATGCACCAATCAATTTGAAGCTTCAACTTCCCTCCCACCCTCCCCTGGGCAACACCACCAGGTAATCTCCCCAAAGGCATTTGAACTTTTGAAGATGGGTTTATTTAAATTCCCACCCCATGTGGCAAAAATTGTGTTCAAATGACCAACCCAATTTTCTTCTAAAAGGCAAAGACTTTCTTCAAAGAGACCAAGCTTCAATATCTAGACCTTGCACGAATCTTTTCTTCTGAGGTACTTGCGCACAAAAGTGAACTGTTTACCTCAAACACCTCCATATTTAAATATTTGACACTTGTGTTTGGCTGGAAAGACTTGACATTCCCTGTTCAAATTCCTTACCCCAGCTGCGTAAGGTTCAAATTCTCTACCCCCTAGGCACAGACAATGGTCAAATTCCCGTGGGTTGTGGGAAGGGATGTTGGAACTTCTAACAACTGGTACATTAAAACTGTCACCTGTCTTGAATTAATTTGATTTATTATTGTCAAATTTTTTAAACTACAAGATGAAAGGTTGGATATGTTGTGGTTCAAAATATTATTTTTTATCGGTTTAAAAATTCAAAACCATGATTATTTTTTCCCAAGGTTCCTTGAGGTTTTGATAATTGATTAACGGATCTAAGATAAACGAAAATCAAAATTAAATTCAGGATTGAAAATTGTTAAACCAAAGCAAATTCTAAACACAACTTACATGGTACAGTGTACATGAAAACTTAAATTTATTTTGTTTTGTCTCTAGGTGAACGCTCATTGTTTTGTCTTAATGAGAATGGATCAGTTAGATTCATGAAAAAATTTGAATATAATCCAAGTTGTTTCATTCCGTACAATTCAGGTAAGAAAATATTGTTAAATTTCCTATTAAAGATAGTTTTAGCCAAGACTAAACCCAGCATCATACCAGCCACAAAGTATTCTCTCACAAGCATTTGACAATTTTTCATTGAATAATGGTTTTACAACAATTCTTAATGATTGATGCGTTGTCCTTGCACTGGTTACTTCCTTGATTTTTGTTTTTTAGTACAGTAGTTCTAATTCCAAGATTAAGATAAACTAGAGTAGTTCACTCTTTTTACCAATTTTCTGAAAGGTACTGCAGCTTATCTCAGTCTCCATAAAGAGATGCAATGAGGATTGTTGCTATGCAGCTAGTCCAGTACAGGTTACCCTTAATCCTTTAACTAACTTGGGTGACCAAAACAGAATTTCTCCTTACAATACCACTACAATATCATGCAGACAGGTATTGAGAATCAAGGAAAATGTAAATTGGGGGATTGTTGGTTGATCCAATATTAAATTCTCCAAACTGAGATCTTAAGAATAGTATGAAAGAACGTAAGGATAATTAGTTAATTTATGAGAAAGAGTTAAACTTCTTGTTAGGCCTCCTGAAAGTTCACCGGGACTCATTTATTCTCCAAAATGGACACAGGCACTGTGAGAGTTTACACGTGCGTGTCTTGCCTAAGAATAAAAGAATGACCATGGTTTTATAAAGAATTCTTCCACAAGCTCGCGTTGGATATAAGATGATAGATAGCTATAATCATCTCGTATCAAACGGGCGTGAGTGGAATAATTGTTTTATTGAAAACGCGCCAAAATATAGATGAATCTTCCCAACTCCATTTTGTAAGAACAAATGGAATATTACAATTTACAAAAACGCTTCCGTTTTAACTCTTATTCATGTGTGCACATGCTATAACGGCTCGTAATCCACGAACGCCAAGCCAATGAAAACTCTCGAATTGCATTATCCAATGGTCCAGTTCTTAATGGAATATATTATTTTGACCATCAATCATTCCTTCTCTAACCTGCTTTTCAGTGGTGGAAGGGACAGTTAATGCTCTGGTAGCCACTTACAACAAGACGCTGATGATATACCAAGACGTTACACTTGCGTGGGCGGCGCAACTACCCCACATTCCTGTTGCTCTTAAAGTAGCTTCATTTCAGTAAGTTGATGGAAAGATTAAGGTGAAAAAAACAACTGAGGCTACTTCATGTTGGTGTTTTGCTGAAACTAACTGTATCAGAAAAGACATTGCTTTTCATAGGTTTGTGTAAAGTCTTAAAAAAATACCATGGGAAAAAATATACCATAGACAACGAATCTATTAGTATTTTGAGAAGCTCCTTTTGTCAACAGAGAGTTTCTATTTAAAAAATGTCGCAGGAGTCTGGTCTGGTTCTTGTTAAGAAGGTCACAAGTACACAGAGCAGAACTCTTCTTGTATCGTACTCACTTGACTCGTAACGTACGCAACAATCGACATCTGTTCACGCGCCCGCTTGTGAAGTATTCCGTGTGATCTCCAGGTTTTGATAGCCACTTAAAGTCGGGACGGGTAAGAATCAATCAGTGGGTTGGGTGCGAAACTTCCGTGGGTGCGAAACGTCCGTGGGTACGAAACGACTGGATACCTAATAAGTTACGAAACTGTTCTCCGCAGTGAATAAAAAGAAAGTTTTACCCCCATGGATATTAAGGCAGAGAGATTTTGTGTCAGCGGAAGAATTTTCCTGATCTTGGATACCAAATGAGCTTTCGGTTGAGACAAATACAAATGGAAATTTCTGTGATCCAATTTTACGGTGAGAAAATTCTGTTACAGTGACAGATTTTCTCAATCATTCTGCGTTTCACCAAAAGTAAATTGTTGTTGGGACGTGTTGCTGTGGCATACCACTGTGATTTTTTTCCCTAGTGTGTTGTAGCCGTAGCGATTAGTCAGTCACGAAACACGCTTATGAATGATCTTCTTTTTTGTGAACTTTTGCCACAGAGAATTACAAGGTGTAATAGTGACACTGGACGAAGGAGGTTACCTTCATTGTGCCTATCTGGGAACTGATCCCTCCATGATGGTGACACCAGCCCCTGAGGCAAGAGATATAAACTATGAGGTCAGTACAAGAGCGTTTTTTTGTTTTTGTTTTTTTGGTTTTGTTTTTTTTTGCGAGTGTCATCGAAGATACAATGTAGATAGGGCAATTTTCAATTGAGTGTCGAAAATAATCCGCGATTGCACTGGCTTTGCTTTACGTCGTTCTATGATTGGCCAGGAAACCTCGCACCAATCTCTCAGTCAATCAGATGCAAAACTGAAACCAATCACGACTTGGTCGCTAGCGTTTTCCAGCGCTTTCCCGCGCTCTAGGCAGTTTAGTTGTGTTTACCCTGGACTCTCATTGGCTATTAAAGGCAAAAAAAATTTACCGACTAGCCATTGCTATTACTTTGGTTTTGGTTTAACCACAATCAATCAAAGAGCGCATAATTCATGAATCCCGCATACTTGTAAACATCTACAATGATATGGTATTAAAATATACGTATTAGATTCTAACGAGGTGCGGTTGCACTTAATTTTGAAATTCAGGAGGCAGATGTTGAAATGAAAGAGTTGCAAAAAGAAATAAGAGAATCTACAATTAGTTCAGGTGAGGAAAGGACCAATTATTGCACAGTTAACGGATGATTACGTCTGCTTTAAGACTGTGGAGGATGTTTTGACTTTATGATGAGCATGGGAGATTCAGGATGAAAGGGAGGCAGAGTTAAACCCTGGTGGTTGTGTTGTTATCCTGCAGTGGGAGATCTAGGGGTAGGGTCCACCGGGGGATCCAGACCTCCCCTTCCTCCCCCCTCCCATTTTACGTCTTGTCTAAATCCAAAATTCTTCCAACGATGGGATCGCTTTTTTTTTTCTTTAATGCACTTATTTTGAAAATTTTCAGCTTATATGAGCTCTAGTGTACGTTGTGACTTCGAATCAAATACTGTATTTCCCGTCTGGCCTCCACTCAGCCAATAAGAACACAGTATTTGCCAGGCTATCCTAAATGCATACATTTGACTCTTTTTGTAGAAATTCTACCCAAAGCACAGCAAAGAGAAGACCTTGTTATCTCTGTAAATGTACCAACAAGTTTAGACGCAGTATCGGTAAGTAAAACACTTACCATGAGTCGCTCATCTTTCATCTGTAGTTTAAGTCTATATGTGCTTACAATTTTGATGAAATAGAATTAAGCAACAGTAGAAAAGAAGCCAGGAAACTTCAGGCTTCAACGGGAGTCGAACCCAGGCCTCCTAGATACTAGGTGGGCGCTGCTACCATCTGATCTACGAAGCCTCACTTTGGGAGCGAGGCAAACATGAGAGGGTTTTTCTCTTCCGTGGAAGAATCTGATCACAATTTAGTCAAATAAATTTTATTTGATCTGCTGATGAAAATCAAGAACAGCAACATTTGATCCTCGCAGATGTGCTGCAATTTCAGCAAATGTCTACATTTGCAATTGCTCAATTTAATAAGCGCAGACCAGCGCAACTTCATTATAAACATGACATTGATTTTACAAATTTCTGTGACCAAATTCAATCTGAGTCCTTTTCCAAATGTTGCCCCTAAGATATTAGTTTCATAATCTATGAATTTATACGTAATTACCTTTCAATCAGTGTAAGTTGGCATTTTGAGAATGTGCTTTGTGTAAGAAGCATCAGATCAAGCATAGCGTGGTTAGTGACGGTGGAGGGGACATGATATACACAAAGGGGTGGGGGCCGGGAGAGCTAAAAGGCTCTTGCTGTCCTTTGTACCTCCATCCTACCCCCCCCCCCCCTATGTTTATCCCTGGCTTGTCCCGCTTTTTCGCTCAGTGTTTACCCAAGAATAAGGGTCAGGAACAGTGTATCCAACTGATTTAAGTAGCGTAGAAATAACGCGCGAATCGAGTACAAATATCAAGAGATATCGAACAGCTGGTGATTTTGTGTTGTAAAAAACCTGTTTAACTGCTTGGCTGCGTGTGCTACGCTTCTTTAACAGCTTCGCTTTTCGCTCCTAATTAGAAATGCGCATACAATTGAGCAGTTGCTTGCTAAATAACTTATTAGACGTTTTGGTGTGTAGTATCACTGAGTATTTTTACTCTTTGTTTCACTCTTTGTTTTTATTTTTGACTCGCCTCTACGGGCTCGTCAAAATACAGCAAACTTGTAAGGACACTCAGCGATACTACACACCAAAACGTTTAGTAAGATATACTTACTGTTCAATAAACTCGTCTCAATTTCTTAATGGACGTGTTTTAAATCTGTGTTTACAGCAAAGTACAATAGATGAGGGCGATGAGGAGACATTCCCATCGATTACAGTAACGGTAAGTTTTTGACAGAAAGTAGATATAAATATATACGTGTAGCTGTACCCTCCCCTTCCCCAAGGGGAAATGTTACTCTTTGGGGGGGAGAGGAGGGTAAGGCCCACGCGTTGGCTAGAATTGTTAGCCATATAGTACACGCGTTTCTCGGCTCCCGCGGGTTGGTTTAAGACGAGTCGGAGATAGGTTTGCCAGGAGTCTGGCACTACAAAATCAGTCAAGATAATATAAACAGGTCAGTTTCTCTTGCCAGCGGTATATTTGTCTTGTCTTGGCGAGTTAGCGTTACGAGCTCGCGATCGTATATCTTGCCGGCCACGTTTGACTGAGAGTTCGAGTAGACGATGGGGGGAGGGGTGGAGAAAGACTCTATTGCTTTACCCCCTTCCCTCTCCTTCCTTTCTGACCGTCGTAGCTATAATTTTCACCGAGAAAATACTAAGCACTTGCTCGCTAAAATCACGCCGGCATTACAGGAAACATAAATTCAACATGAATTGTCTCTGAAGTTTGTTTTTATGAAAATCACCTTCATCACACAAGGCGACTTATCGCAGCGACTTGACCGCACAACGATTTGTCATCTAGTGTGTACCGACCTGGAACCCGAGTGGGTAATCCAATTATTATCCTGCTTTCCCAAAGGAGATGTATCGTTCGTCATTGTTAACAAGAGCCTGTCTCCTCCTTAGATCACTCTCAAGTCACAAGCACCAAGTCCCCTAGAAAATGTAGTTCTTAGTGTCATATCCAGTCCCCCCATTATGTGTAACAGATCATCTATTGTCTTCCCTATTATCGGTGAGTAAAAGTGTCATTGTTGATGAACTACGAATTAAAGATAAGCTTTTGATATTGGACAATAATTTCTCAGCAGAAATTTCTCTAAGTGTGAACTGTTAAATTTTTCACCGCAAAACATTAAAAATCGACAACCGCAGTATAGAAATTTCGCAAAATCATCATGCTACGTTACAGTCAGTAGTATCATAACTCAGGCGTTCTTGAGGCCTGATTCTTAAATTCGGGTTTGTTCGTCTCCATTCACAAATTACAAATTTGAGGCTTAAAAGCGCCTATGTAAGTGCAAATATTTTCCCAATGTAGGCCTCAAGGTTTTCAAGTTGAAAAGCAGGTGGAAACACAGTGTAAAAGGGATGGCATTTTTCTCACCCTTTTCAAAAGCTTCTAACATGTATTCCTGGTTGCGAATTCCACATGCAGTTACATACATATGAAAACCGTAGGGAGATTGAACCTACATTTCAACCATTACCAGCGCTTGAGTACCCTTAGATATTTGTCGAGTTTGACTTCTTAATTATTTCTATGAAGATACAGCCTTGCTGTAAAGAGTACCATTATCATCGTATTGTTTCTTTCTGTCGTTGTTTATTCTCAGGAGACAGAAGTGAACCCGTATCTGCAGAGATCTCTTTCTATTCACGTGGAGGATCTATTCCTTGTTCGTTAAAAGCCCAGGTCACGGCAACGTACGTTACAAACTCTGGTGAGTTCACTTGCATCCCGTTCTCATAAGATTGAACTTAAACACAAGGACTCAGGGAGATTAAACGACAACAACAACAACAACAACAACACTGTCTTGGGAGGTAAAGGATCAATGGAATAAGTAAGGGATGCATTTTCCAAATATTCATCAGAATGTGTGAGTGCCTAAACCTTTTTGCGGCTTATCGTAGTTTCTGTCAAAATTTAGTTACAGCAGGGGGATTGCTAGTCATTTTGGTGTTGGAGATAGATGTTCCTTACTTTGAGGACTTCGAGAGACGAGTGGAACCCGTAACTGAATTTAGGATCGAGAAAAATACTGAGCAATCAAAAAGAGCTCGGTTTACAGAAATCTACATAGCACATGTAAACTTTTTCTCACCTCAGTTTTTGTGTTCATAGAGGCTCCACGGGTCGCCCAAACAGACATTCATTTCCCGTTAGCTGTTGTCTGTAAAGGATGTCCGCCAGTGAAAAACGCAACTCATAAGGTAAGGATCAAGGACGAAATTATGACAAACTCTATGGGGGGCGAAAGAAAGATAAATATGAAATTCTATACTCTGAATTCAAAACCTCGAACGGACGGGAAGTCTTGTATTTCCGTGATTTACAACTTTGTGTACCCTGGCACAAATGAGGTCCGACACTGTTCGTGTCCACCCTAAATTCTCTAGATCGGAAGTTATTTCTTTAGCCCTTTAACCTGTAAGAGTGACCAGCTTCTAATTTCTCTTTACAATATCAACCCTGAATCGAACATCAAAGTCGCAAGATTTAAGGAAATGATCACCAACTTATAAAGCTCCTCATTTTTAAACAAATTCTCCTTGCCAGGGCTTCAGGAAATGTATAGAGAACAGTAGAATATGCATACTGATGTTAGGGTGTACAGGGTTAATGGTTAGGGAGAGATAACCAGGTATTTTAAACGTTAACACAGGAATGTTAGTAATATCAACAAAACTAACAACAGTCAAAGGAACAACTAAGACAAACGAACAAAAGTTTTCGGTCAAAATTGAATTATTTTTTTTCTCTATGCCTTAGCTTACTTTAGATACCAACAAACCTCCTGTGAATCTTGCTGAAATATTTCCCGGTAGGTCATTGGTTGCTGTGTTATCAGTTGCTCTGTGGGATATTTCGGGATGATTTTAAAGCTATCAAGCCAGTTATTTGAAAAGCAGTTAACGTAGATGGTGCATCACTGAACAACCAAAATATCGAGTTCCAAACGCTACTTCGCAAAGAACACAAATATTGTCGATAGTATGGCACACAATGTCGACAAACAATATTGCTTAACCGATGTTTTTGACGGTGTTACGCAACGATGCCGTGGTCGTTTCTTGCTTTTTGTGAGGTAGATGTCACATAAACAACAATATATTATATTTGACATGATTGGAGAACACCAAAATGAAACAAACTAAGCAAAACAAACAAACAAACATACAAGGATGGAGACGATTACAACAAATGGAGAAGTTCAAAACTTTTGGTCCACTTTCGTTTCGAGTCCCACGAACTGCAACTTGACTACTTGACTGTCCGTATCGTTTTCTTTTTGTAGATATGGTAAATGATGCTGTAATTCCGATGGCAGCAGTTGGCATAAAGTACTTTGGTGGACCGCTTGTTACAATCCTCGCTTCAAAAACATCACGTATGTATAATAGCGATATACACTAGATTGCAAAATTGTTGACACCTAAATCCCGTTACATATGAACGATGAGACCCACCGGCTGTATGGGTACACATGTAAGTGATAACTACATTTAGTTGAACGCGGTAAATGGTAGAGGCCATTTTCACTTTCCTAAAAGAAAAAATATATCATAGACAAATATTCCTCATAAGGATAAGGAGGAAAGGATAGAAAAAGTAGAGCACTGACTTTGTACTGAGCAGACACTTCCCATAAAGCCGTTGGGTCTTTGCTCATCGTTCATAGATTACGCTTTTAGTTGCCAACGATTTTGCGATCGAGTGCAAGTCAGGTTTGAATTGTTTCTACTTCCAAATCATCATTTCACCTCTTGTTTCCCTTGTCACGGTACTGCGATTTACTACATAAAGTGAAAAGAGCCGTGTCTTTTCTTTTTAGAAAGATACAGAATCCAGTGTGACGTGTTTCAGGGAATGTGGCTAGTTCTACATGAGGTTTGCAAGAGGTTAGAGGCGCACTTCAAAAAGAATAAGGTAAAACCAACAAGACATTATAAAAAGACTTCGCATCTTAATTTGTTTCTTTCATAGCCGAATGTTAACCTCATGAGGTTAAGGAGGGGTGCACTTTTATCGTTCCCTCTGTCTATCCTTTTTTGGCCACAGCTTTGCATTTTTTAGTATGTGTAGTGATGTTGACGTTGGGCAAAGATTTTCAATAAAATACTTGTTTGTTCACGTCGTTCTGTGACTCGTTTGTGTTGATAATTTCAATCATGTGATCTCTTTGTAGGACGCCGTTCAATTTCGTGCATCATTCATGGGCCCGTTGCCTCTACAGGAATATTACGAACTGATAGATGCTCATTTTGAGGTAAGTGCCTCTCTCAGTTGTTGTAGACTTTATCATGAAATGTGCTTTATACCAACACTTTATAATCTCTTGTTTCTACCTATTGTTCATGTATTTCTGTCTCTCAATACTTCTTCAAGCCGCTCTATGAAAGTGGATTTGAGTCAGCCGTGGCAATTTAAAATACATTCGCTCTGGCGAAGGGCTAAAACTCGAAAATTCAGTTTTAGAAACGTCAACAATGCATCATCCAAGAGATTATCCAGTTTATAATCTCTTGCATCATCTGATTCACAGCAACGCTGTAACCAAACGAAGTACCGCGAGTTGCTATCACAGCGGGCTCAACAGTTTCGAGCAATTCAAAGAAGATTGTTAACAAGGTTCAAAGACAAGACCCCGGCACCACTTGCGAACCTCGACACTCTTCTTGACGGGACTTACAGACAGGTACATAGAATAAAGAATGACACTGGAGGGTGTTGATGAAAAAATAAGTCGCTCTTATTTTACTTGATAAGTTAGTATGTTACGAGTATGAGTGCGAATTTATCGAATAGCGAATGAACAGGACGTAACTAGCTTTGATTATTACGTCAACTTTGTTTTTCTCAAACAAAAACATTAAGCCTTTATGTGTGCGGTATTTCTTTATGATCTTATGTTCAATTGGCGTATTCCTGATTTTAATGGTTGAAACTGGGACATTTCAACTTTCTTGATGGTTCTTTTTGTACCGAGGAAAATTTCAAGAGATTTCTAGAATTGTTTGTTCCGTGTAACTTACCATCAGTTAGAATTGAACGTAAGGTTACATTTCTGCTCTAAACGTCAATCAGCTAGCATGCATTCTGGTAGAAAGCCATTTAAGATATAAAATTATCTTCCCATCCCAGCTCCTCGCGCTTGGAGAGGCCGATGAGGAGTGCGAACGAGCCATCGAAGCAGCTTCATATAATCTATCATGCGGAACACGACTTATTAATTTCCTTATCAAGTAAGTGAGGGCCCTCTTGTCAGTAATAGAGCACTTGCGATTGCGTGTCGTAGAATAAAACTGAAGTAATGACGACAGCCAATCAGAAGATAGAAGAATATTACAACAAGCCGGTGAAAACGCAGACAAAAGACTAGAAAACTGCTTATGACGCAAGAGTTCACGAGTGACCAAGTTTTGCGTTGTACTTTTGCATCTGATTGGATTAAAAAGTGGCGCGAGTTTTCTGGACCAATCGCACAGTGACGCGAAGAAAAAAACAAGGCAGTCCCTTATTACCTCTGACGCTCGCTTGAAAGTTGCTCTTTACGACACAAGAGAATATGTAAGAAAACGTGAAAGAATTTTTCTCGAGCGGGATTAAAAGAAACACTCCACTTCGCGTTAGCGAGTTGAATTTTTCGCACTTGGATGTGGTTATGAACGATGTGTTTTAGGCAAGGTCTGTGTATTCTTTGCGTGACATTCCGTACGAGGATCGAACGCAACTTCATGCCATGTTACGCCATGCAGGCATCATATGTCACGCCATATAGGAATTTGTTCACGTCATCTGTTTTCATCTTTTTTAATTACTCCACAGGCTTTGGACCAACATGTCAGATAAAGATTTTGAGGTTCTTCAGACTGCGCTTTCTCCCGAAGTATCTGAATCACGGGAACAGGTATTTTAAAATCGTATTTTTTTATTTTATTACTATTTTTTTATTGTTTGTTCTTTATTTTGTCATTTTTTAATTATGATACATCGGTAGAAATAACAGAGGAATTACATTTACATTAATATGATATGCCTGAAGATTTAGCATGGAGCGAGGAAACCCGTAGGGAAACCAAGGGACTTATGCTCCTAATATTTGACAAAAGTGAGGTATCAGTTTCATGGCGTGATTTAAGTACAAAATATATTAGGTTAAAAAAAGAAAAGCCACACACACATAAAGGAACAACAACAGAAAACAAATTTTTGTCGCGAACATTGTGGTTTTCCCTCTCGGGCAATTTTTAAATCACTCGTCTTCTTCGCATCCGTAGTTTGAAATGTCAGGTGACATCCTTAAAAAAAAAGAACAAGAAAATGAAAAAGAGAACTGAAAAGATAAGCTTTGATAATTTTATAGCATTCATAATTCTCGCAAACTTTTTAATAATTATGTGGGATCAACGGAGTTGTTAAAAACAAATCAAAACAATACAACAAAGCAGACACAAACTAAAAGCAAAAAGTAAGTAGATAAAAACAAACGTAAAAAGCGACTACTGCCAATTTCAAGTCGTGGATCTGGTTTTCATTAAACAAATAGATTCCATGTTTCCGTGTGTCTGTTTAGTAATAGATCACAGATGACGTTAAAATCTGGTAAGACCGAAAATTTAGGACACCAGGCGCAGCTGCGTGTGTCGCTGATGCTCTTACCAAATTTTGACTTTTTTGCGATCTTTTATGGTATCGAGCCACCGCAACATGGAATCAATTTGTTTTAAATAATAAAAAAGAAAAGGTTGTTAATGGTGACGTCATCTATGCGTCTGCCCTCCAATGCATAATGGATAAGAACCAATCAAAAGGCGTGTTTAAGTCAGCTTATCATGAAATATCAGCTAATTTTCCAGGAGTCGTCCTTGCTTCGGGGATTCACTTCTCCTCCTCCCTCCTGTCAATTTACAATTCGTTTTGGTGAACGTAAACTGTGCCACTAGTACTCTTTCTTGTAACGGTGGTAAACAAGTTACATGTGTAATTTGCTGTTAATTCAGATTGTTGAAATGCATCGCTTATGTAGTTCTGTGTCTTTCCTTGTGTTCAGGGCTGGGAGGAAATTACAGATGCTGCAATTACGCACCTATTGCGGACCTGTTTGGCAAAAAGTGCAAAGGATCAGGCTGGTTAGTGCCTCCGTTTAATTTTAAATTGTCTCTGATTTAATGAGTCTGAACGTTGAAATAATTTTTTGGAAAAAAAAAGAGGTTTGGAATTTTTTGCAAAAAACTTGCACCAACCGTGTGTACAAATCTCGCTCAGTGTTCTTTGACTCTGCCTACAGTTGGTGTTTCAGCCATGAAGATTCCTAAAGATACAAGCAAGCTAAAGAAACACATTGCACTGATGTGTGACAGGCTCAATAAGGGCGGCAAGCTGGATTTATCTCTATCATCCCAAACGGGCGAACCCCTTGTACAGCAGCAACAACAGAAAGCGGTCACACCGTTAGAACCGCTCAGCGAGATGCAGGAGGAAGAAGATGAGACAGGTATAAAACGCAACAGATGAGATTTTCATTTCTTTTCACAATTTTAATTCACTTTCTAACGAACAGATAGTGAGTACATCGTATAATGGAAATGATCTCAAAATAACGGCGGGTTCGAGTCAATTGTTCCACGCCTTACCTTTTTGCAACGGAGGTTGAACTTATGGCTTTACTGGGTAAAAAAAATTGTTTGTCTTCCTATTTGATAGACCTACGCGCATGTTGGCGGGCCCACTAGGGCGCCAAGCACAAGTACCCGATATCCCGAGCAGTAGTCAGTTTATCCCACGCAACCTGGGGTAAAGCTTTAGCCTCGTGTGTCTCTGGGCTCGATACCAGACTTAATGACGATTATTTGCTTTGTTTCCAGATGGTTCATCCGCATCCTCCACGTTAGACAGCGACCGTTCGTCTGAGATCTCCGACACGGAGTCTGTGTCGAGTGGCGGGAAGGTGCCACCTCGATTACCGCAACTCAATCACTCACGGAAACCTCCGCCAGATTTGAACAAGAGACTACTGGTTACACCCGGATCTGATGAAGAAAGTATGGTGTTGAAAGGAATTGGTGCTGCGTCCTTGGCGAATGGTTTACCTGAAGATCTCGAAAGAGCATTGTAGCGCAATCACTGGCCTCTGATGGTCACACAACGCATGTTGGTCACTCCTGTTATTGTCACAGCAAGTCCGCTCCACAACATGTCACACCAACATGTATGATACACATGTGGCAAAACACTCTTTGTACAGTCTCCTTGAGTTTGTCACGCAAAATTAAACAAGAAGCAATCTAATGTGGGTGCTTCCTTTAAGTATTTAAAGATTTGATGTACAACCATTCCGAATAATTTTACGTTCAGAATTACATGTTTTTAAAGTACAACGTACCCTTTATCGTTGGAAAACATCTTTTTGATATCCCGTGACTTACCATTTTTTTTTCTTGATCTCATTCGTATATGGCCTGCTTAGCAGGCAGGGCTCAATTTATCCAGGGGCGAGTGGTGATGATGATGTAAGCCGAGCGTACGCAGCGAAAGTTGATTCCCATCAATAACTGATTATTCTTTAAATAAGCTCAGTATTTGATGGTAATGTAATGTTTCTGTTAACAAATAAGTAAAAGATCACGATGTATTTTACTATCCTAGTCCGAAGAAGCAGGAGAAAATGAACGGACAACGGTAAAATCTCCTAATCTACTGAGGCACTAGGATGAATAATTTTTTATAGATAGTCCCTTGAATGGACACTTGGTGTATCGCATGAAGTCTTGACCCGACGGCAAAAAACGGGGCGATTATTTTAAAAAATGGAAACGACATTGGAAAGGAAGAGAAATGATCTTTTTTAGGGAAGAATTCAAGCGTTCTATTTGAGATAGCAAGCAAGTAGATTTACACTTGACCTAATGTATCTTTAATGGAGTGGACACATCCCAGGTAACGCCCTAATTGTTCTCTGTGCCCTCATTCCTCGTTTTTTCTTGCGTAACGTTATTTAATGTAAAGCTTAGACTCCGAATGGAGGAGTGTACAATATTGTATATGGACTGAAGAATCAGTGATCTGTAATTTAAAGTTGTAGAATGTTGTAAAATAAGACTCAGACAGGAGAGCTCGTCAGAATACCACAACTATCATCCTGCTACTTTGTAACTTAAGCAAGAAGACAAAATTCTCATATTCAGCCGTTAAGAATTCTTATGTGGACTGTGTCATAGTGGATTAGACCACCATGTTTGATTTAGCCATTATTCGCCCCGAGAGTTGAGGTTGATGAGCAATTTTGCGTCCAAATTAAAAATAAAAGATTACGAGCAAAGCGACTTTTTTTTTTTAAATTTACATCATCAACGAGTTGAAAAAAGGTGGTTTTACTATAGCGTCTCACATTCACACTACTGCGCCACTGCCCACGCCTCAAATGAACACCTGACCTCAAGAGAGTTATAACTGGTTCAGAAAACTCGTGCCACTTCCTCGACCAATCAAGTGTAACACCAAAACTAATGGCGGCTTGGCCTCTCACGTTTTCTCGCGCTTTGAATGGGTTCCTTAAATTGATCTGGAATTCTCATCAGCTGTTTGTCATGAGTTATCGTCTGATTAGCCACTGTGATAACTTTGGTCGAGATTTTACTACACAATACATTCAATTGAAAAGCGCTCTCGTTTTATTAGCGAAACTTTATTACCTTGTTTGCTAAAAAACCGGTCATGATCAAAACTTACTACGGTGAATTAATTCACCTATTTTACGTAGTCGTCAGTTTGTATGGCCTCGTGAGTGTGTTAAATTAAATGCCTTTTCAGTTAATTAATACATGGACACCACGAAACGTAAAGAGGTAGAAACGTAACTCCTTCTATGCTAAACTTCATTTCCTGAGAAAAGAGCGTTACACGTAAAATTGGACGTTTATACAATTCAATTACAATTTTTTTTTACATGGAATCATCAAATAGGTATGAAATCAACCCTTTACAGTTTTTAAACTAAGAATTAAATACCATCGGTCTTAATTCCAGTTTTAAGAGGATATAATGACAAGGTTTTCCAAGTGATTTCATATTGTGATCCCTTTTGAAATGACCCCAGCCTTTCTTTAGTATAAGGCTTGGTTCCTTAATAAGTGGAAAAAATTTTATGTGGTAAACTTTTTCACTAAAAATTACATTCAAATTTTGGGTTGTACTTTAGTTGAAACCAGGGCAAATGCTTACATGACACTGTTAAAAGTCTAAGGAAAATTTCAGTCTTATTTGGTAAAAATATTTGTAAGGTATTCTTTGAGACCACGGGTTAATAGTTATTGGTGCCTGATGCAACAGATGAGTAAGACAATTTAAAGATTCATAAATAATATACGTTGTCATTTATAGGATTATTACAGATATGACGAGGTTTCGAATGTCAACATTAAGCAATGTCAGTATCAAAGAAACTTCGCACCTACCCCTCCCCTAACTGAACAACAGTCAAGTGTAACAAATTAGGGTTAATGTTGAGTTAGGGGGAGGGGTAGTTCTGAAGGGAGTTCTTCTATGGATGATTTGATATCCACCACTCAGGTTTCGGTGAGAAAATATATATCCTTTGAGATAAAAAATATATATTAGTTCGATACGCGCGTGTGATGACTAATGCTACGCAACTGATAGCGATGTGTAAGATTAAAACTATTTGTGAAACCATAGACTTCGTTTCATATGTATGGTCTCGTTGATAAGTTCACAGTCCATGGGTGTGATTTGTAAAGTTATTGTTGCTGCTGAGCAGTTAATGGAAACCGTCCATCTCTCCTTTCTCTCCTGTCATATGAATTGGACGAATCCTTGCGACTATGCGCGCGCATACACTTGTTTCATCGAAGTACTGACCAGCTGGTTCATATATGAGTTATTGAATGCAAATGTTGTCGGCTAAAACTATCTTTATCTTCCATCGTTATTCTTCATTTGTCTGATCATCCACTTGTGACTCCTCTTCAAACTCACAGCCGCTCTTCGTAGTTTACCCTGAATGGACGACAGCTGTTGGATTTTCAAGTTACAACAAAAGGTTAGACGAAGGCTAGTGAAATATGTGTAACTTTATCATTGTTAATAGAGACGTAGATTTGAAAAAAGCATTAAATTTTTATCTCCGCCATTTAACATTGTATATTGAAGTCAATTGATCAAGGTGTTCTGAGATTCTAAATAGTAAGCTTACGATTAGAAAAAATGTCTTCAGATGTGTCAGAAATTCGATCAGGGAAGCCGCCATTTTGAAAACAACACAGTGACAGGGCCGGCCACCTTTAAGGGAAAAGAGGAGTGAAACGTTGTTGCGTCGAAGGTAAGCGATCAGGCTGCCAAGCCAGATTTGAAAGTGACACAGATGTATGCTACTTTGAAGGCAAACTTCATCAGATAGAAAAAGTCTTTTGAAGCTGATAACACACTCGCGTCATAACGTAGGGTAGTGAAAATGATAAATGCTTTCTACGGCATAGGCGCCTTCATCATCGTTGTCACACAGCACTTTGCACCACCAACTGCGTGACCTTTATCAATTTCTCCGTTCTAGTAATTGTTCATTTGTCTCAATGTGTCTGATTTTTAGACAAGGCACTGATTGAAAGTTTCATTTCGATGTTTTTTCACTGAGCGGTGGTAAATGCTGCTTTCTATATTTAGAAATTTGAGTACCAGTGGTGTAATACGGAGCATTAACAATTCTTTGACGGTGGAAGAGTCTACGAAATTCAAAGTGATATGATTCACGGTAGCTTTTTTTCGAAAAGCACCTAGTATGTTTAAATAACATCAAAGGCGTTAAAACTTCGGATGCAAAACAGAATTTTTCGAGGAGGTGAGAAAAAGATGCTATCGTTCTTTTCTTGGAGAATGTTTCAGATTAAGAACTTGTTGTGTTTTCTTCTGCGAAGCAAATAGAGAGATTTGCCGAAAGGTTTTGGTGTGTTTGCAAGTTCTTTTGCGACATCAGATTGTTTACTTATAAGCACATCTTCCCCGCAGCCATCTCACCTGTGGAGGGCATTTCTCCGGATGAATACATTTTGTCCTTTGACTGTTCCATACAGTTCCCACCGGACACAGACAACCAGGCACGCAAGAGCTGCTGGGACACGGAACACTTACGTCATCCTTGTTGTCGCACGTCCGCTGACAGGCAGGAGCACAGTCGTCAAAGACGGCGCCTTTGACAGCGCAAGAGACTCCTTACAAGCAGGAAAACAGTAACTCAAAATTTATCTTGGAATTTCTTTTTGATAAATGTCGTGCAGTGAGTGCAAAGTGCTATCTCATTTATTTTTGTGCACCTGTCTTAGGATAGCATTTGCGAGTACCTAAGGTTTTGTCTGGTATGTCATTACACGAACCGTATAAACCCATATAGCTCTACGAGCGTGAAAAGTACTCTAACACTTACCACAATAAGTTTTCCAATTCCTGCCCCAGTTCACTGTGATTCCTTCGCTTTTACACTTGTTTTTGTAAGCCAGAACAGCGTCACACTCGCACCGCCTTCCTGTACACTGACAGACCGCCGAAACGCACGACGAGTAATATGCGTCCGGCTTCACCTTTCCGTGACAGTTTGCAAACTGCTTCTTGATAACAGAGCATCGTTTACGACCACTAATGAGTCTCCGCAAACGACATTGTGACATCGTTGACTTCACTGGTTCTGAAGGGGCTTTCTTGCACCCGTGATTTCTTCGACCCAATGACCAACTTTCTCCAAATTCTTGAGCGGACGTAGCGCGCCTGCCGTTTTTCAGATTAAAGTCGTCTTTTGAGTTACCGTTGAAATTCCCACACAGCCCGTCGACTTTACCCATAAGACTCTTCGGCACTCTTATCTCAATGAAACCCTTACCATCCCACTGGACCTGAACTCCCATGTTGGACACAAGGGTTATGGTAAAACTACCCTTCGTTATCTGAAAATAAGGCAGATGATAGTATGGTAGCTTCACATCCGACTTATTCACTTTCACTTGCAGGTCCTTATGTAAAACAATCGAGGAGTCAACCAAATGGATCGCCAGGGCCTTGGACCAAGCGTAGACTTTGGTGTATCGCCGATCATTACGCATGCGTATGGTAAAGTTTGCGTTGTCTGAAGTGAGTTGGTATCGGCAAGTGCCATGAAAGTTGAACATTTGACCATCGAATGTTCGATAATGTGGGTCTCCATACGATGTACAAACACCAGTCTCTAAAAAGGCAAACCAACAAACAAGTTATGAAGAAAGCCTACAGCTGTTTAAAAAATAATTTAGTTTCAATTCAAGAAGTTTAGACTGCGAGCAACTCCTCTCGAATAGCTTTTGGGGCTTCTATGGCCAGCGGGGAAACATACGATCAAAGAGAGCCAAGCTGTATTCTGATGCAATTTACACCAGGTATGGATTATTTTTCTTTTAATTTTTGCTTCTCCTTTTTATTTCCTTTTTTTTCTCGGGCGTCCACAGGAGAGCCCGAGTATTAAAATGAGAAGGTTTCAGTTTCTTCCTGTTGCAAATCGCCCTCTGACGTCTAATGCACGTGCGCAAGGTGTAAGAAAGGTCAGCGGCGGAGCAGATGGTGTTTGGCCCCGGTCTGCAGCGTGTCTGCGCGCCTGATCAAATGAAGGGAATGTGTCTGTGTTCATTGGAGTTTGAAGCGCTTAGAGAATCATTACTACACTTTTGAAATGCAACGGAGTATTCCCGGTAAACGCAAGAGTCTTCTCGAAGATGCAGAGGACGCCACGAGAGTCCTACGAGCAAGCTTTTTGAGTGAATTTTTTATTGAGCAACCAAGATTTAGTGAGCTTTCTGTGGAGTCCCTGTGGAGTTGGAAGAAGGATCACATATCTGCCAAAACTGATGCTGTCGAACATTTTTAAAACTCTACGAACAACTGCACTCTTGAAATGCAACGAAGTATTCCCGATAAACAAGGAAATGAAAATATATTCTTTCTTTCAATTTTTGCTTCTGGATTGGTTTTATTGAGTTCATCTTGCCTTTCTTTTATCATGATCTTCCAGTTTTTTACTTTTTCCGTAGTGGCAATAGAGATGAAAAACAAGATTGAAACAGTTCCACCCCAACCCACCCCCTTTGGTGTTTTTTGATATTTTCCATATTTGGCGAGTGGATTGGCATTATGTCCATTTATGGCTGTTGTGAGAAAAAACAAAATGGCGGCAATGGGTGATGACTTTTCGACCTTTCTGGTAAAATTTCCTGTCAAATCAAACGGACAGTTCACGGAGAAACAATATTTCGGTGCACAAAAGCTGGTAAATCAACAGGGGACGTTTCAACGCCTCAAAACCAAGAAATTGGAATTCGCTTCGAAGCTGGTATCATTGGTTGTGCTTTCGCAGGTAAGATTACTGAATAGATATTGGGTATCCTATTCAAAATATTGCTGAAAAAGTGCTATTTGATAAAGAAAATAATTTAAACCATGATATATTGACAATAACGGTAGCGAGAGGTATGTGAGACTTCCTATAGTTCGTTAACCCTTCAACTCCCAAGATCTGATTGTCAACTCTCCCCTCTAGCTTCTAAAACATTTCCTCCTAAAATTGTTGCGAGAATTTAGTGTTAGATCAAGATAACAAACTCTACCTGATAAGTTGAGGTATTTTCATTGCCTTTTTGCGGAATAATGTACTGGTATGATTGGGAGAAGTTGCTTGTTAATCACTTTTGGAAGTTAAAGAGTTGAAGCTGGTTATAGTTGAAAAAATTGTCTTTCATGCACACCATTCAAGGTTTATCATTCCTTGTCAAACTGCAAACTCTCAAATATGATTAAATATTCCACCTCTAGAAGTGATCAAATGTAATTACTTAATACAAATGTCTTAAGTTATTAGGCAAACAAGTTATGAGAAGTTTGAAAAGCGAGGCAAATTTCCTGGATGAAAAAAAATCCAAATTCTTGGAAATAAACAGCACAGAAATTTATAATCAGTAGTTGAAAGAAACTGAACTTGAAAAGGGTGTTTTTTTGATAGACAAAAAAATTCTCTGCCAAATTTATGAGGAAATACTGTGCAGGTAGAGATACTCATCACATTGTGTGAGATATGTTGTTGAGATCATGAAGTCTGCTGTACTGACCAATCAATTCACTCCAATCAATTCACTTAATTTGGACTTTGTACATTTGACCTAAAACAACCCTTCACCTCACTCTGACGATGACTTCTGCTCAAGTTGTTAAAATGTCAGTCACTACTACTACTGACAACAGTGCTCCTCAGGACTTCTCTCAGCCAGAGTATTAAACTACACAGTCACATGTTACTGCCATGTTCAAACCCTTTGCAGTGTAAATAGTTGCTGTATCAATAATTTGCTTTATAAATGACTGTAAATATATGAAAATCATATAAATGAACTGGGGATAAAGTAATGAATATGGATGCGATCTTCACAGTAATGAACACTACTTAAGCCGTAGTGAAAATAAGGCCTGAAAAAATTCAGACTTGTACAGGATTTGAACCCATGACCTCTGCAATACCAGTTCAGTGCTCTACCAACTGAGCTAACAAGCCAACTGGCAGCTGGTCCTTATGTTAGTTCCAAATAAACCCATGAAGTGGTGAATAAAATTTTTAGGGCTTATTTTCACTTCTGCCTGAGTAGAGTTCATTACTTTGAAGATCGCTTTCATATTCACGTCTTTATCCGCAGCTCATATATATGATTTTCATATATTTACAGCCATTAATTCACCACAATAAAAAACTCCACCATTACTCACTCTCTACACACTGAAGGCAGCAAGCCCCTGGAACCAGACCTGGTGCCTTGCCCTTAAGAAAACAAATAAAAAAATAAATTAAAAATAAATAAGAAAGTGGACAGAAGCATTTTTATGATTTTTGAAGCCCTCTTTCCTCAGCAAGCATATCAGTATTCTATTATCATGGCAATTTAAAAGCCTGCATTGGTATTGTTTGGGGGGGGGGGGGTCGTACATAGGCACTTTGTAGAATTCAAGGGCATATTTGGCTGCTTCATCGTTTTAAATTAGTACTTGTTTTAGGCCACAGGAGACTCTTTTACTCCTGAGAAACACCCCCTCTTTTAACAGAGAAAGGCATTCATAAAATGATCTCATGCCAGGAAATGAAAATACTCAGTGTGTTTGTTTTGTTGTATATTTGCCCACGAAATCGCAAACTAGAAAAAGGTGGTCAAACATTACACATCATTTGAGGAAAAAATGGAACATAGCTGATGACAATGGACTTTCCTTTCTTAAGAACAGTACCTACCTCCGGGCATCTAAGTGAATTTTTTGGGCTGCATTTTTGAAGCTGGCATGAGACAGTTCCATTTGTGCAAAAGCAGATTTTGCATTCCTTTGCAAACCAAGAATCGTTGTGCTGTTTATTCATAGAAAGAAAAAACGCTTTTTCAGTTTAATTACTAATGCCACGAATTTGCGTACAATTATTGGCTTGCATGGTCAGTCTCACTCATTTTCTTGTACTTGTTTGTTGGCCATGTTTGGGTTATGATAATTCTTTCCGAGCGCAATTATGTACCTTAATTTTAACGGAAGTGAACTATGAAAGAGAAACTTGCCATGATTAAAATAGTTTTAGGAGTCCAAACTAGATGTTTGTTCCGCACCAAATCGGAGATTTTTGGAGTGAGATTTATTTATTACTTTTGAATACAGTAAGGGTCAAAATATGAACGAATAAGTTGTTTAGTGGGATGGGGACAACAAGACTGCATGTTATTCATCCATTGGTCATGCATTGCGTTTCTTTAGATAAGGAAAAATGTTTGTTTGTGTGACTTTAACCCTTTAAGTCCCACCAGTGACTTAGACCGAATTTCTCCTTACACTATCAGTACAATATCAAGCAGACAAGTAATGAGAATAAAGAAAAATATCAATTGGGGGATTATTGGTTGATCCAGTTCCAAACTAACATCACGTAAATTGCATGGCAGACAGTAAGGAAAATTAGTCATGAAATCTTGGGATCAACGTTATTCATTGACTTGATTAAGATTAGTAGTACCTTATAAGTTCTCCCTTGATGTGTACACGAAGCCGGTCCTAACAAAGGAAAAAGAAGGCACAAGTTTACTAATGTTATTTTGTTTTAGTTCTGCTAGTTCTCCCTTGTTTCTTTGCGAATCGCCTTCTTAGATAGCATGATCGTGGTAGGGTTGGTAGATGTGTTCTTATGAGTCAAACACTTAGACTTTTTGCATTACAATGGTCATCACAAGCACCTAAAACAACGAAACTTCGAAATCTCTTACTCTAAGTAGGTGGTGGTACATACACAAATCGAACAGACATGGATGTCACGCAAGGTTTTTATGTGGAAGAAGGGCTGTGTTAAACTGCTTAAATGTCAATTTGCCAGATACTTGGATGTGAAACACAAACCAAGGCGTTCCATTTCCGAAAAGAGTATATTCGTTCTAATAAAGGAATTCATGTTTACATTAAGCGTTTTAATAGATTTACCATATTTTACATTTCATCTCGTCCTGAAAACAATTCTTATAAAGAACAATCGGCCTCTAGGCCATGCCGATAGAGATGATCTGTTAATGGGAAGTCGGTTTTAAGAGAGCATCTTGGGTAATCGGTTTTCAATATATTTTCTGAATACAACAGGATAAAGGTTCACTTACTATTTTTTCTAGGTATCTAAATGTTAGGCAGAAATCATCAGAGTATAATTAGATGTTCCATATATTATTTCAGCTTGCGACCACGAATCCTTTAAGTTAAAGTCAACCAGGAATTAGAAATCCGTTTAGGCTAATGAAAATCACTTTTCTGCGCATTTTATTTTTAGTAATACTAGAACAAAGGATATCTGCTTAGCAAGGCTTTCCAGTTGTTTCCATACCGCTGATTATAAATACTTGTGTCAGCTCGGAAAGAACATGTTTCGGATGTGCACCGGATTCTGTGTTTTTCCGTTAAATGTGACGCCACGTTAGCCCTCTATCTGCGCTATTTAAACCCAAAGCCGTTTATTCGTTCTCAAGGATAAATGCACGGCTCATTATCCTTCTTCAAAAAAAAGGAGAGAAACAAAGTTCTCCATTGCTTTGTGGGATGAAGCTTCCGTATATTAAATGAATGCGGCGAAGTTCTAATGGAACAAGCGTCCGCCGTTTCAAAATTTGGACACAATAACAATTCGTGAGGCACTCCTCAGGAGCAGTGAATCGTCGCTATGTCAGGATCGCATGCAGCAACTTAATATGAAGTGTTTAAAATTTAGTTGTCTTGAAATGTTTCTAAGCTTATTTTGCCCATAGGGCCAATGGTGTAAAACAGAATTTCTGTGTTTTCTAGGGGGCTCTCAAACATCTCTGGATCAGCCATGAAGTGGAATAATGAAATTTGCTTTTGTTATTTATAATTCTTCTTGTTTGCAAAAGGATAAGAAGACATCTTTAAGACTTAGCATGATTTGGAGAGACACGCTTTGGAGCATAACATCGCATATGTCACTTTTCTGCAGAGATAATTACTTTCGAAAGTCAAACTAAATGAAAGGTGCAATAATTGAATGATGGATGTTGTCATCATCTCATTTTTTCAGCCCGTTTGTACATCAACATAGATGCATTTGTAAATCAGGATCACACAAACGGCGGAGACCAAGAGGCGCCTGAGTTCAACCTTTAATCTGAGAGTATTGTAGTATTTATCTGTATTTATCCTCCCTCGGGCACTGTTTGGGCCATGAAATATCCTGTCAGGAAATGAGATACAAATTCTGCGGTAGATGGCAACAAATTTCCTGTAATCTTCTTTTAATGCGAAACAGAGATGAGCCAGAGGGGATCTAAACTCTAGGCTTTTGCTAACTATTTACCTTTTTTAAAACATAATAACAGAAAGAGAATTTAATTAATTATTCAAAAGAGATAGTAACATATTCATTTGCCTTAAATTTGTCAGGAGACACTGAATTAAGTTGAGTAATCAAAACTGGTAAGTGAAATGTTTATTTGTGCGGTCAATTATATCGATATTACAGCTTGAGGCTACTTGGCCGTAATTGTTTGTTCAATAATTTAATTAGCAGATTAAATCGAGCTGCGAATTTAATTTCAAACAGAATTTATTGCAAGCTGAAGAAAAAAAAGCTGTTTGGAATGCGTGGGTTACGATGAGCTTTGAGGGCTTTGTTCTCAGGTAGTTGGAAATAAACTGAGATAAAGTCTTAACTGATCAAAAATTTAATTTCCTTAAATAAGCTGTTAGATGAAGTAATGTGTCTAATTAACGGATACAGACGAGATACTTAGAACGACTCCACAGTCGACTTGTCGCCATGGGCGGTAGGATCAAACACCTCTCCGCAAGCACATTTAATCGCTCTAGCCGACCCCATGTCGGCACAAGAAATGATTTGTTTTAACAAAAGGCTATTATGGTTTCATTTCAAGAGGATCGGAATTGCCAAGTAGGTGTTTTAGATTAAAGGAGACATATTTGATGTTTTTCTGTTTACGCTTAAAGAGAGCTTGCAAAGCGGGTTGTATGATACGATTTCAATTGGACAGCCGCGCTGATTGAATATCTAAGCAAATATTTGTTCGGGCTAAATACTGACAAACAAACGCCTTTTTAACCATGATTTAGAATAAACAATTAAATGTTTGAATTGAGCAGTTCATTTCAAAGTCCGGTCAAACGCGAGGGTTATTTAGGTTCAAATGTAACTTTAATTTGCGAAACTTTCTCGAAAGTGGGTTAGAACAAAGGTTTTTTAGGAGCAAATTTTCAAGCCTTTCCAATCAAAAGATTCATTAAAAAATATATATATACATATATATATATATATAAGTTGCATATGATAAGTTGCATCATTAGTATTGGATGCTAGAGTTCAAAGAATTTGCTGGAAACGAAGTGAACTGTGTCGTAAGCGAAAGAAGACCAGTGAAGACCTCGGTCGAGGTTACCGAACGCGGCTCTTCTTTTATATCCTTTAGTGCCGCAGAGGAAGACCCAACAAAAATGAATAAGACCTTGAATAAACCTTGAAAAGGAAAACACCATGAACGAAAACTGAATCGTGAAAATAGGGACTTGGAGAAGGAGCTGTCCAAAGTGGTTCGCATGTCTCAAGCTTTTTTCTTAGTGTTTTCTTAACAAAGATTTGTTGAAAACAAATATTTTCTTATGGACTATAATTTCAAATTTAATAATCCGGGTTTAGAACTCTACGTATTCTCCTTTTCTGACAGGGCGCATTGATCATTGAGTTTCCGCTGCCAAATTCAAATTTTATTACTGCCCGGTAAGATTCATTTAAAGCACGTCACCTTGCCTTGCTTTTCTACTCCGTGGGCTCTAAAGCACTTTCGAACTAAGAGCACTTAAATGAAAATTTATGGAAACAATTAATGATGTCTTCTCGAAATTTTTCTTTATCTTGACATCTTCATGGTGGCCTGACTATCTTAGTTTACAATTCTTTCTTTTCTTTTTGTCCTAAGTCTGTATCTGATTAGCGGTGAGACAGAGGCGCACAGATTCCTTGCAGATGCTGTGTTGAAATTTTCTTTTAATGATCACCATGAACACCCAAAGTGACGAAAGTTCTTTATTTCTTACGCGGAGAATTATTACCTTGGTTTTCATTGCAAACGGGACAGCATTTGCCTTTCTCTCTCTTCAGAGTTCCCTTGCATGCGTTCGTCCTTGGACAGACCTCGCGCGAACATTCCACAGATTTGTTCTAAAAAAGATGAAAAATGTTTGAAAAGATCGCTCACATAATACTCTCATATACTTTTAGATATCCTTGATGTATACCAGATCTTCTTGTTTCCGGGATAAGTGTTATATTCTGAGATCTAGGATATTAGTATCACTAAGGGACCGCTAGATGAACTACATAGTACTTTTTCACAACATCTGAATGTCATTATATATTTCACCGTGGATCTTGCGTTGAATTTAAGCTCACACCGTTCAATAATCTCTATGGCAAAGCGTTAAGTTTTGACTCAAGACTGTTTTGAGTTTGTTACCCAGTCTTATCCAGACACCGCTTAAGCCTTAAGAAAGCTTAATTTATCAATCTTGTCAGATTGCAATCTAGCATAAACTTCTGTTTACCTATTCTTGTTCTGTTTATGTTGACCCTTTGCTGTTCATCATTAATAAAAGTTTTCTTTGGAGTCATTTGTTTTTCGCTTTGCAAAAACGTCAAATAACATCTTTGGTTTTTTTTTGTCAGAAGCAACAGCCACAATATATAAGACTTTACTCTCCAGAAGTACCTTTCCTTACTTAAGATGCGAAAGTCGGGAAGGGAGAGAAGTTTGGGTTCTCGTGTCCCAGGATCGTTAGCACAGCACGCCACCCTTTACGTTTTAAATATATGCCCTTTGTAATCTCGTTTATGGCACGCTTATTCAACAAAACCAATTAAAGCTGGATCGTTTGGTCAAGATAAGAATTGAAACAACATGAATGATGCCATAAATAAGAAATCCTTACTAATGTTTGTGGCATCATTAGAATGTTAGCTAAGATTATCTGTTAAAGATAGAGGATGATGGTTACTGAATCGGTTACGCAGCTGCTCACATTGCTTTTAAATGCCGCCCATCATTTTACAAGAGTGAAAAGAAAAAGGAAGAAACTGATTCACACGAGAGTATAGAGTAGCATCAGGTTGTCGAAAATGACATTGAAATTACAGCAGCTGTGTAGCTGTTTATGGATCCTGAAAATCTGGCTTGAATTTTTTTGAATCGGCTGTTTAATCCATGTCAATCTTCTGCACCTCTAGCGATCCTAGCTCGTTTTCTAGTCACTAATTCAACTCTGCTGCTTTTTTTGTCTTACAAAATATTTTTTTATTGGTTTCCATAGCGTTAAGGATCAGTTTGCCCATAGAAGAGAACAAATCAAAAATATCGTGAAAATTTCCCTTGAGGCAGTGCTATAATAGATTTACACGTGCTGAAATTACACGACTCAAATTATAAATTGTGCACTTGTTCTCCTTGACTTGTATCTCGCAGTAAACTATTCGTAATAATTTAAGCGCTAGTGAGAAAGTTAAAAATGAGTGGAAAGTCTAATGTGATATCATCCTTGTCGAAAGTGCTTGAGTTTCTAGAAATGTCAATGTCAAGAACGCTCCCATGGCATTTGTCACGGTTGCTAATTCTCTCCAAACCAAGATTTTCATGCTAGTCGTTAGCCGCTTCACAACACTGCCAATATTATCTACAAGTATTTCCGGACGAAAATCAATTGGCCAGTCCATACATGTGTGAAGCTGTGAAAAAAATTCATTTTTTAAAAGGTGCAAGGACGCATACGCATTGCACTGAGGAACAAAAGATCAATACAGGAAGACATAGCTGAATTTTTCACCTCTGACTAGCTGTTCAAATGAAACCAAAATGGAAATGTAATCATCAGATCGTTTGGGAAATATTTGACCAGTACCTTACCATGACGGTGATGTACGTTGATTTTCACAACTTCAGCCAATATCAATTCTTGGTTATCGTAAAAATAAGGTTTTTTTTTTTCTTTTTTTTTTCTTTTTTTTGCTGCTTAACCAACTTAATGCCCGAAGCTATGACAATCGCTTCAGCGATCGCAATTTAAGGTAGTTTGAAGGTTTGTGATTCAATATTACGTCGGCTGCTGTAGAAGAAAGAAACATTGATGTAAATGCAGCGGAGATGTTGCGGAGGAATTGATAACTGATCTATAATTGGTCGATGCTTAGTTGTTCCTTATTAAGTTCTCGATTCACGCCTAGAATTTCTATATTGATTTCTCCATGGGTGTTAAATGTTCGTCAAACGTCCGTCAGAATCCACTTCCTTAAGTTTCTTTCCATTACTAGAGGAATGGTTTGAATGTTTTCTACAAGTTGACTCTTAATATACTGACAAAGCTATTTTGATATGTCTTTTCCCGAGGGGCGGGGGGAAGGGAAGGATTGGGAGAAAGGCATGATAGCTGACTAAAATAAGAGGGCAATATAACCTACAGAGTTGTCTTGTGACACTTATTTTATGGTTGTTTGCCAAATCTCGGTTTTTACCTGTTTAATGTGGTAGATGTTTGGAGTTTGTTAGCCTAAGGATCTTGGGTTTCAGTTCGTTCAGATCAGAAATGGGAGACTAAACAACTGTTGAATTTTTTCAAATATATCAAGTCTGAATTGGCATGTCACTTCATCTGAGAATGAAGGGCGCCTGTGGCACAATTAATCAGTTTATACTGTCAAGGATCGCAGTCAGTTGAGGTCTGACTCCCACTTAACCGATGGAGAAATATTTTCTACTTCCTTTATTATCTGTTTGACTTATTGCTGCAACGGTTTCTTTTTGGAGAACTTGACAGAGAAAGAGATTCCAAGGAGGTTGTGGTCTTTAGCTCAGAGATCTTATCTATCTTTCCTTTTTTGTATTTGTGAATCGAAATATCTTTCTGATCAGCAAATATAATTGTTTCCTGAAAAACATTTCCCGCAAGGTATTAAGCAATGACAATTGGCAAATGATCTTGACTGGATTTCCTGAGCACTACAACGTACTTGTTAAGTTATGTGAATAATGCGTGCAGCACGGAATTCGAGGTAAATAAATTGAAGTACTTAATGTTATTTTGTCTGAATTTTAATACCACCCTTGGGGCAATATCGATATGTCTCACAGAATTGATGATAATACGTGACACATCAAAACAGAGAAAAGGCCCCCAACAAAGTGAACAAGTGCCAAGATTATAGCGATTAGTTGCTTGTTTTTCAACGATAGTGCGATTGCTGATGCCACTCTGCAGCGGCATAAGAGGTTATACACACCCGTATCTTGTTTCATGTTTACAGACAGGCTAAAAGAAAGGCTCCCCCTAAAGGAAACGTCTTTTGCGTAAATGCTATTGACCCATCAGCTGTTTTTCTCCTCGGCTTAAACTCTCATACCACCATCATAATAAGTAAACCACAGGCATGTAATGATCCAAATAATTTGAAGTCTCTTGCGATATCCTTGCTGTTAATTGTAGTCACAAGGGGGCTTACTATGTAGTCCTTATAAGCACTAGTAATCATTCTCAAGATAAAATATCAGCGTTTTGAAACGGAAGAGCTACCCTACTGACACGGCACGAAGATTTGATACGTTTTAGTCTAAATCATTTTGTACTTCTTCTTCTACTACTTCTACAGGTCTTATTTGGGTTGTATGCCATCGAACTTAGCCATTGCAATTTCCTACAATGAAACGAACGGTTTTTAGTGGTGAAGTAATCGAAGCACTTGGATAGATAACGGTTTTAGTGTCTATCGAACGTAACGAAGAGAGACCAACTCTGGAAAATAATATTCAATCATGGCGTCCTAACGCTTGATGAATTATGAACTACAGGCCGCACCTATAAGCCATCCGAGTCAACGTTTAAAGAACTTGCATTTTCAAAAATCTCCCTTTATACTGGAAAGTGTCATCGACTGATGAAAAAATAACAAACGTGTACAAAACAGCAACATAGCCAAGCACTTAAATAGTAAGATATTCTGAGCTTGTCTTTACGTATCAAAACCTCTCTGCAGTACTTTGAACTATTAAGGGCGACCCAGTGGGGCTTATGACGATCCCTTGCAAGGGAGGAAAAAGCGCCACATCGAAGCACTTGACTCATACTGTCATGCTGTGCACGATAGATTCTTAATGCAAGTCAATAAACGGTACCACATAGTGTTACATAATTTGATTACTTCATTTTTTGTAGTCTCTTACACGGATTACTTTAAGATAGAAGGATAAAATTTTTCCCATTTATTTTCTCGTGGGAAATATAAGCTAATTTTCTGATGGCTTTTTTTTTAATTCACTGGCTATTTTAAACCGTGGTAATTCGACCAAAATTAAAGGATCTAAGCGTGTTAAAGTAATGATTCCTCACTTCGTCATATTGGATGACTAAACTGCATTCAACATGATATTTCGAAGTTGAAGGTTTTTTAATGATTTCAATTTTAATTTTTGCCAACAATCGTTAAATTCTTCCATCGCAGAAACCGTCATGGCAGAACCCATAATTTGGGCTTTTATTTTATGTTACAGTGGTAACTTAGGGTTAATAAAAATCTCTAGGGGACAAATTCCATAGGTTTAAAACGCTTGGAAGGTTACTCATAAGATAACAGGAAAAATAAACGAATGCTTGAGAAAGAACCTAACTACGTTAACACGACGTTCTTTTAAAGGAAGACCGTTGAGATTTTCTTTATTTGCTTGTGGGTACCTCTTTGATGTGATGAGTGACATCAAACCACATGAAAGTTAACTTCGACGGATCACGATTTTTTTCTGCGGTGTTCAAAAAGATTTGTTTTTTTTTCCGTTACAATCTGTGTTACCATAACATTTTTTTTGTATTGATACACAGATATTTTCCGTATTTGGGTTCAAAACCCTTTTCACTTTCCGTCTCCGTGGCCACGATGAGGTGTGGAAGATTCTTTGACGTAAGAATTGCACGAAAAGTCACTTGGTTAAACAAACACTGTTTTTATCTTGTGTGACTGTTTCTGGGTCAGATTCCTTCTCTTTTTATTAAAAAACATCTTGGGAATCCGTTTTAAGGCAAAAAGATGGAAATAATGAAAGAAATTGAACACTTTTTTCGTGTTATAGTTGACGGTTAGGTGAGATCGGCTCACAACTCGCTTCTTTGGGATAAATCCACGTGTTTTTGGATATTTCTGCATGCGATTTCATGAGAAGCAAATATTTGATACAATTTTAGTTATGCAAATTATCTTAAGCAATAACATGGGAGGTTAAATTGGATTTTTGTATTAGCATGCCAAAGCCTGTTATTGAGTCGTAGACTGATAAAAGATACAGCACTGAGAAAACTTATCATCTTATCAATGCAAATGTTTCTAATCTTGTTGCCGCTGACGTTAATAAAGAGGAGAACATAACAAATACCAGTGACTTGTGACTCAAAATACACGAAAGGATATCAGAATGTCAAATCTTAGGAAGGAAAGGGTGTGATAACTATCTTGCATGTGATTTCTCGCTGTATCTTAAAGAAGAAACGAGAAACAGACGACGTTAAAAATTGCCAATCATTCCTAGAGTAATCCTTCGGAAATGTGCCAATCAATCACTTTTGACTTGAATGAAAAGATGGATGAAAGCAACTCAGTTATGAATTACACTGTCAAAATTAAATTATATCGTGTTCTCTTCAGGTGAAGTACAGTTAATTTATTTTTCTGTCTGGAGCAACGACTGAAGCTACGTGTAGGTAATTAAAAAAAGGCTAAAATGATTAAAAAGGTATTGGAAACTCAGGATAGGAAAGAAGGAGAACTGAAACCGGCTTTTATGTCCATCATTTCATCAGGGGATTTTCGACTGATTTGTGAAAGACTACAGTTACCTTCGTGCCAAAACTGATTTTTAAAGTCGCGGTTTGGAGTAATTTAGCCATCGAACGTGTCTGCTATGTTCGTTTTAGGCTTCTAGTGTCAGTTATTTATCAGATTGATTGTTTTATCAGCCATGTCTTTCAATTTCACTTTTTATAGCTGAAGTTTCGCATTCTTCAAATAACTGAACCCTTTAGTACGAAAACACCCAACCTCTCGCTTTCGTATTGAATGGAATTTTCCCTTCGTTTTGGAGGCATTCTCGTAGTTGAGACGCAACCTCGAAATGTGTTCGTACGGCAAGAGTAACAACTGAAATAATTTTTTCACCCAAATCTCCTAATTATATTCAGGCATGTATTTCGTAATTCGTCAATCACAACGTGTTGAGGTGAGAATGAAACTCAAAGCACATTTTTCGGATTAATAGTCTAAGGAACTATTGCGACTGATTTTTTTTCAGTTCAAAACTGCTACAAGATACTCATTCTGCTCACGAAGGTAAGAAATTTGTGTTCAAATAGTGACAGATTAGAGGAACGGGCGAGGCTGTTCAGAAAATTTATGCCCACCACTAGAAAATCCATCAACTCGAAATCATTCAGATATGTGTATATTAGGAATTCCTAACCTAGGAAAAAGTTGACCGCTAGCGAGAACACATGTGATACAGAGGAAGAAATACAGATGAGAACTTATAACCTTTTATTTTAACCCCAACCCAAGGAAGGCATTTGCAATATCGCCTCAAGTGTACGTGACTTGGTGTTTTCCCGTTAATCGCATCGTGTCTTCGTCTTTGTAGAAACAAATTCCGTATTCCTCGGTAATATATTTGAACACGAACCAGCTGAATCAAAAGTGGAAAAAGCACTTGCTGTTTGTTGTGCCATTAGTAGTAGCCTGAGTGATTCTCAAGTGCGTTAATGATTCTACTCTTTGCCTATTGTCATTTAACGGACAGGCTAAAGTGTACTTTTGTGAAGTTGACGTTTTTCGCATAGCAAACGGAAAGCAATTTACTTCAAATAACAAGGGAAGCTATTCAACCACGAAACAGTTCAAGAGTAAATTGTTGTTGACGAGCTTATGATGATTTCAATCTCGACCCCTTCCCGATAAGATGAACACGAGTTGATCAGTTCTCGACTCTCTTAGTTACTTTTTTTCTTTGTTATCTCTCCCACTTACAAACTATCCCAAGCTGTCGAATTTTCTGTTTAGATACGCGAGCCCCGTTCTTTATTTAGCTTGCTGATTTATCTAAATAAAGCATATACACAAAAACTAAACCGCGTGCGAGTGTTACTTCACTTATGTTCAATTAGTGTGCACGGTGGTAGACAAATTGGACAAGTGATGGTGCGTTCTATGGACATATTCCAAATATTTGCACGCGTCTGTAGCCAATGATTTTACTAGGACTAGACGGAATGAGCCATCATCAGCTCCATCAGCTATCAGTGATAATTTTTCCTCCATCTGAAAAGTAAATAAGTGTCTTTGCCTTCCTCCCACCGAATGTTTACGTTGAAATTTGAACAGCAATTTTGACCATTTCCTAATCCTATAAAAACTTCGCTCGCCTTTTTATAGACGCGTTTGTGTTTCCTGCCAAGGTTGTCACTGTAGGCAGTTCTTATCGAAACACTCTGAACAATGATGTCACGAACTGGTTATAAATTCTTTAAAAAGAAAAACTCAGGGCTTCCACTAACCTTGCATCGGCACACAAAACATGGATTTCCCGCCAAAATTGGTAGCTCAATGACTGCGTTCTCAACAGTGCACGAAGCCAGGCTCCCTAGGAGTAGATAATGTCGCAGTCAGTGGCTCTAAATTTGCTCTCCTGCGGTTTTGAACACTAAAATCTCTATAATGTACACACAAACCTTGTATTTTAAATCCCGGTGCCACGCCGCCACCAGCAACAGAGGAAATGAGGAGCAAAAAAGCGAGCGAACTCGACAGCCGCAAATTACCTTGCCTTGAGTCAAACATGCCAAAACGATTTTCTAAAATACAGTCAAGTCAACCTTAACCCGATTACGACTTCCACTTCACTGCATCTTAAGTGTTCTAGCTTGGGCTTATATAATGACAATTGAGCGTATGTGTGTCGCTTTTCAACGGACTTTTCCCACTTCCGTCACAAAGACTCGGAAATTTCTCGCCACGCAGGCGCCGCCGACGATCGGGGGAGGAGAAGAAGGCTTCTGTGATATATTACTTGTGGTGCATAGTGTTGAGCACGCGAACACTAATCGATGACCGAATGACATTAATCACTGCCTATCACCAGAAGCTGGTTCATTTCAAACATACCTTTGGGTTGCTTGATCATTTATCATCGCTGCCATACTCAAAACAGGTCAAGCTGTCAACAGCGATTTACATAACACGATCCTATAGTGAGAGTTTGTATGTGTGTGTCAATGGCTCGTATGTAGCCAGTTATCGGTGTAGAAGATTGAGTTTAAGTTAAGCTTTGTCGATTGTTTTATACCACGAGGGTTATTCTGTAAGTGGTGTATAGTTGTGTATTTTTCTCTTTGCTTTATTTGTCTAGCGAGTTCTTTGTTTGCTCCCGATTTCAATACATCAAAGGTGTTGTGCATAATCGTTTGCAGGTTATTGATAGCGATCTCTATGATTTTCGCATGTTTGAATTTGTACTCATCGCATGCCTTCATTTATCTGTCTGGCATATCGAGCCAATTTCCCGTTGTTGAACTTCTCTTGAATGTTATTGATTTGTTCTCTGTGCTGTGAGCATAACACACAACGGATGGGTGTAATTTGGAAAGGATTTCAGCAGTAAGTGCCAAGTTTATTCAATTCATTATCAAGAATGAGCTCTTGAATGAGCCCAGTCAGAGCGGCGCCTGAAGACAAGGCCCAAAAAAATTGGCTTAATTTTGAGCAATTTGAATAAGTCACCAAATCTCTCAAAACATGTGTAGCGCGACGCTGAAGTAGCATAACCTTGTTAAAGTAACTTCTCTTGTTGCCTAGAGTTATTTCTTTAATTACTGCTTATCGTGTTATCTTTTAAAAGTGTAGACGTCAACACTGTCCAATAACCTCGCTTCTGACACGGTATTTGCTGCCAGGGGAAAAAAATCTTCAGTGCCGACCTTTTTATCTCATTTAGGCTACGCGGTGAACTTTGAATTTCCAGTTCACTGGAAGAGAAAAACAAAGACAATTAAGTACTTCTTCGTTTATGGACGCCATTATGAACAGGATCCTTGCCAACCGTTACGCTTTAAAAAAAATTATAAGGTGTTAAGCTGACATGAGTAATGAAAACACAATTAAAGAACTGTTCACAGTTTTTGCTGCAATGCGTAATGATTTATGGAACAAATCTCACCCCTTTCAGTATTGTTTGTTTGTTTAGAATTTTAAAGCAATTTAGAAATCAAAATTCGACTAATTCCACTTATGTACCAGCCAGATCTGTTGCTTTTTTTTCCTTTTTTTTCTTTTTTTTTTCGTTTTAAGACTATTGGGCTCTTTTTTTTTTAACCTAGTTTCAAGATAAAACCCACATATTTAGTCTATTATGACCGCTTCTATTTCTGGGTGACGTCTCTCGAACTAAGATTAATTATATTTTTTCATATGAATATTCGATCTTCTTCGAATATTGAATATTCGAGCTCAGAAAGAGAAAACAATTAAACAAACAAATGAAAAACATCTTTCAGCAGTGAAAAGGTTTATTTTTCTTGATCAATGACACAAGCCTCAGCAGAGTTCTTTGGATTATTTTGTTATTTATTACCCCAACTCAACTTAACACAGACATGTGTAAAGGGGGTAAGTTTCTAAAGAAACTGGTGCTGCGTCGGTGGGAGAATATAACAGGCTAATTTGGTCTTATCAACTGAGTTGATTACGTAAATTGGCCACCGTAAAGAACCGTTTAAAAGCTGGCGTTTCGAGCGTTAGCCCTTCGCCAGAACAAATGGAAACACAAATATAATTTGAGTGAACCTAATTTAATTTTGGGTAGCAAATTTCTTTGAGAGTCTTGTCAAAAGCCAACATTGTGAAATTTAGTCTTTCAATTCTCACGGTTTTTTTATCGTTGAAGCGCTTCTTTGCTATATGCGAGGTTTCGTTAAGTGCATTTTGCGATTGAAATATTTTAAACTCGACAAACGTATGGGTCTGTTACCTATTTCCTCTCAAAATCAACTTAATCAGTTTGAGACAATATTTCCGAGCTGCTCTCCTTCCATTGTTATCCTTGTTTTTGTAGATATCTTGTCTACTTTTAAGTGTTTAGTCGTAGGTTCGAGTGTCTAAGAATTAAAAGGAAATACTAGAACAATCAGGGCAACCTTTTCTTGTTAAATGAAGGAAATAACCAATCAATAAATCTGATCATGATAAGTTCAATCGATGGTTGCTAAACGCGTTAAAGATTCTCCAAGATGAGTACATTTTCAGATGGCTTTATGTCATGCCATACATGTATATAAATACGCAAAAATTATCTTAGGAATCACCAGATTTCCTAAATATTTTCTCGTGTAATTACTTCTCGTGGAAAAGAATCATTTCGAAGTTCAGTTTTAGGTCAGAGGATCTGGTCAAGGGCTGTCTGAAAATTGTGGACATTTTGAAGAGATGTCCATAACATAAGGTCTTGATATTTGAACTAAACCCCCTGTTTGTGGCGATCACAACTGTCTAGAGCCTGTGTGTGTGTTCGTGTGTGTGTGATTGTCTCAGCAACTAGAGTAGTGACCTTTGCTTATCCATATCGTTTTCACTGACATATTCGAAGCGATTTTATTATTATTATTATGACAAATGATCGTAACTATCACATGAAAATGTCTCTTTGGGTTCTTATGTACCATTTTAGCCTCCTCATCAATGTGGTATTACCCACTAAGGAACGCCAAGCGCTCATTTCAAAAATAGATAACTAAGAACTATATTAAGCTAACAATAAGTCTGTCCCGATTTGTGAAACCTCTTGAGCTTGTTATCCACACGTGCCAGGTTACTAAAGAGACATAACTTGACGAAAACATTTCTTTTCGGAGCAAGTACAGACTGGTGTTGTGTGATGAAGTTTTGTGTTCCCTCAAATTTATAGGGTCTGCTAAGTAGATCAATACACGTTACTTGTAAATTGTCGCCACGTAACAAAGATGTCTCATTATTTCAATCTTTGTGTTGCGTAGTCGTGAAAACAAAATCTCCGTTATAATCCCATGGATATACAGTGAAAGAAATCATACACTAAGATAATCGGATTAGAATAATAAGGATTTTGCTCCAAAAATTCTTAATCTCCTTCTCAGCTTTGGAAAAAATTACAAATAATTGACAATCCTTTTAGCTTGCCTATATTTGCTGAATTAAACAGAACATATCGTGATTTTCTCCCTAGTAAACCGCCAGGAAAGGGATGATCAAAATTTTTTTCCCTTTGTATGGTTTTTTCTGTGCGCATGTTCTTAGCTATATATAGCTATTTTTTAATCCATTATTTGTTTTCTCACTACTTATACCACCGTATTTTCATATATTTTTTTATGTAACTTTTTTTTATGACAAATGAAAACACGAATGATATATACCATACGTAATGAGCTAGTAACAAGGACGGAATGTTACTTGCCCGGACCTGTCAATATACAAAGGACAGTCTCCTTTTGTGAACTGACTTTTAACTTTCAGTTTTGATAAAATATCGTGGTTTTAATTTCATGCATCTCCGTCATAGTTTCACGTTTCTCTCATCTGAAGTGGATAAGAAATATTATCTTTGGACTCTATTGCAATACGTAATTCCCAGTTGTCAGCAAGTCTCTGAGAAAATATGTTGGAAAGAAGAAAATATTTCCAAAATTTAGTATGGTTTGTACAAATTTTGAGCTCTTTTTCACAAAGTTAGGTGACAGTTACCTATTTCAAGTATTTAAAACTAAATGCTAAAGAGGATTTGTGGCAACTGTAGGTCACATTCTATCACCCAAAAATTATGAATATTCTTTTTTAAGTCCTCGGTTTTTAGTGAGTCTTCTCAGCTTTACGAATTCGGTGGTATAAACGTATTTTTAATAACAACTTTCACACTTCATGAACCAATGCGTTCTGGTGGTCTTCTAGTATGACGTCATTCCCTCAAAGTCACACATGGCTTGAAGCTTGAATTAACAACTCTATTTAAAACTGTCACGAAATGCAAAAAACTAACAAGACAACAATCTTTACCAACTCTAGACTTGAACAACCTTCGATGGAATTCTCAGCATTCCACTTTCTTGTGTAATTACAGATCAGCTGCAAAAATTAATCTTTTCCTTTCGATCTCTCTCCAGGTTCTTATTTTATTCCTGATCAAGAAGGTAACATGCGTGTGGGTGGGCCAAAGTCGTACGAAGCGGAAATTATCTTTGTTTTTGTAGCCAAATAAGACTAGGGATATAAAGATGTCATATCTCGCGGTAAGTCCATCTAAATATTTTAATACCATCAGTGTTACTGATATTGGTATTTTTGTCTCATTGTCTAGCCGTCACTACGTGAACGCTTCTTTTCTTTCTCGTCAATTCCACAGCCAAATAGTCAGCACGAACGCACAATGTTCTGTGCTTTAAGGTGCGTTGATTACGTAGCCTTGGTGTCACGAAAGAAAAAAATGAAGAATATTTTTGTTTGGAGGCCGTAAGAGGATTAGCTTTGCGCTAATTTCTCATGTCTGTCCCAGCACAAACATTGTAAAGAGTATTCTCGTCTGATGGAGAGAAACCCATTTTTTTGTGTGTGTGTGTTTTGTCAAGGGATTGCTACTTTCACTCATCAGTTTACTGTGATGATTACAAATTCCTATTCGATTGCAATCCTCCAGGTGATCGTGGTGAGGCATATTGGATTTATTCACGAGGGTTTACCGTGATGAAGAGGGAAAACAGGAAAAATCTGGTTTCAATGAAAGGCTACAGTCAGTGATGTGTCAGATTTTCTAGCTCACAATCAGCAATGTCCCTCACACAATTTTCCTTTCCAATATCTTTGCATTCCCTATTTTCCATTTCTTGAAAATAATTTCGTTATCGACATCCATCAATATCTAGAAACGATAACGTGGCAAATCGTTCAATTTGTCATTAAAGCAATCGATAAAGAT